TGAAGAACAGCAGCAGCGCTGCGAAGGCAGCCAGGCGCAGCATCGTGGCCTGTGGGGAGAGAAACCACGGCCATCAACCCGCACGCCCTGGACGTGGTGATAACAAACCCACGGGCGGGGGATTTGTTCGCAGCCCCCAATTTCCTGGATGAGGTCCCTGAGTCATGGCTCCTCCTGGCAGTGAGGACACAACCCGGCAGCACAGAGCTCCCACAGAGGTTCATGGGGCCCTGGGCACAGCCTGCAGTGGCACTGCTCGGTGCCAGCTGAGAGCCCGGCCATTCCCACCTGGAGAGCCACATCCTGCACACCAGCAGCCAGGGGCACGGCTGCGCCCCAGCAGCGTGAGCTGCAGGATGAAGTCACTTCATGGATGCGGGAGCAGAGCCATGGCAGGAGACCTTGTACAGATGTTTGGAAGGCAGCAGGGTGATGCCAGGCGGGGTTGGCTCAGCCCATCACTCCCAGCCTGGCTCCAAATTCTTCCCTATCCCAAGGATCCCTCTTGTGCCCATATAACCCAGGTCTCCCCAGCACCAGCTCTCCTGAATGGGTGGTGGGAGAGCACAGCTTTGCATGCTCCCCAGCACAGGAACAGGGACAGGGACAGGAAACTTGGTCCTTTGAGCTCTGCTTGTGTTTGCAAACCCTCGTGTCAGTGAGCAGCTCTGCTGGAGACGCTGCCAGAGCAGGCTGGGGACAAAGCCAGGCACAGACATGCTCTGACCAGGGCAGAACAAGGGCTGTCACTGCTGCCAGGAGCATCCCAGACCCCCACCTCTTGCCCTCTGTATAACAACTCAAGTCTCTGGCACACAGCCCCCCAAACCGGTACCTCTGTCCCCACCCCAAACACCCCCAGATGCGGCTCTGACACTCGCAGGAGACCACGACCTAGCAAAAGGTCTGTTCAGGTGCCAGCATCGGGCAGGGACAAGTGGCAGCGATGTGACCGTCACAGCTCGAGGGCTCCTCAATAAAACGGGTCCCTCCTGGCATGAACGCCAGCCGAAGAGGAAGGAAACACTCAACGTCATTTCCCTTTCCCTCTGAAGGTGGATTCACTGCTCTGAAGCCGACAGCCCCCGCTGGCCTCAGCCATAGGCCGTGGTGCCCCGAGCCATGCTTGTGGCTTCCCCCCTGCCCCGTGCAGCTCCCCCCCGGGTCCAGGGGAGCCCCTGTGGCTTTGGCAGGAGATGTCGGTGGGTGGGAGCCGAGGCAGCGCCACGTGGTCACCGTGCCCCGGCATGTCACACGCGTGGCTCAGCACCAGCACCACAGCACCCAATGCTGCTGCCACGTGGGGCCGCCCATAGCCCCTGCCCACGGGTCCCCCAGCACCTCCCCACCAAACACCTCCCAGGCCTGACGTCCCACAGCATCGCAGGACCCAGGGGCCTCTCCCCGCGGTGAAACAGAGCATCTCTCAGATCCCATTAAGTGCTCCACCTCAGCCCTTCGTTACACGCTCCCATCAAGCAGCCGGCCATGGAGAGCCAGCAGCGGGGGAGCCACGCTCCGTGTGGGCAGCAAGGTGCTTTTAATCTCCCACTGGAAGGCCAGACGGGCCCAGACAGGCCCTCGTTATCCTGCTCTCACATCTGTGCCTCACACCGGCGTGCCCGGTGCCTCCCGCCAGGAGATAACCGGCGCGATACCGAGAGATCGGCGGCGAGACGTTACCGACGGCAGATTCCCGCGGGTAACCGGTGTTACCGCAGGGCCCTGCCCCGCCGTTAGGGATTCAGCGCTTGTCTGCCTGCATCAGCACAGGCACGATTAAAGACCTGCCCGTGGCTCCAGCGGGCACAACGCAAACCGCAGGGATCCATCGCCCGCGGGCACCGCGAGGAGCCTCCGGGGAGCCAAAGGCGGGCACAAGACCCAAGAAGCCTCCGGGGGCATCTCCCCAGCCCCAGCAGATGGGCGGCAACCGTGCCCTGGCTTGTCCCTGGGCACGGGGATGGGGATGAGCCCCCCGCCCGCGGGGAAAGACAAACGGGAGGGACGCGGTCCTGCCTCACCCCCCCCACCCCATCCGATGGGGGCTGCAGAACCGGGAGACCCATGCGGGCCCCACACCGGGTCCCTGCTCCCCCAGCCCCGGCCAGGCCCCGGAAGAGCCCGGAGGAACGGGGGGGGGGGGGAAGCCCCGCATCCCGCTGCGGACAAGGGCCGCGGCGCTGTACGGGGAGATCGGGGCTCGGAAAGGCTCCGGTACCGCCCGCAGGGCCGCGGCGCCTCACGGGGGACACCGTGGGCCCCGGCAGCCCCAGCCGAGCGCCCGCGGGGAGGCAGCGAGGCCACCGCGTGGGAGCGGAGCGGGGCCGGGAGGTGTCGGAGAGGAGGAAGGGGTAAGCCCGGTGCCGCGCTCTTACCGGGCTCCGGGCGGTCCGCTGCGGCCCGGCAACCTGCACCGGGAGCGGGGCCCGCCCGCCGCTGCGGCACGGCACGGGGCGGGGCGCGCAGCGAGGCCCGCCGGGAGTTGTAGTCCCGCCCGGTGCTGCCGGTGCTGCCCGCCGCGGAGGGTGCGGGCCCGGGCGGCGGCGGGGCGGGGCGGGGCGGCGCGGCAGGAGGAGGCGGCGAGGGCAGCGCGCACACGGACGGCTCTGTGGCGCAATGGATAGCGCATTGGACTTCTAGCGTGTGTGTGTGAGGGGAGTCATTCAAAGGTTGTGGGTTCGAGTCCCACCAGAGTCGCGTTTTGCCGCCGGGCCGTGGGGATCGCTCTTGGGGTTCCGCGACTGCAGCAGGCCGGGGACTGGGGGGGTCAGACGGAACCGCCGGGCGCTGCCGCCGCGAGGAGCCCGGTGGGCCCGATAATGGTGGCGGGGAGAGGAGCGCCGGGCACGGCTCTCCCGGTTATCCGTAAATGCGCATCGATCGCGGTGGGTCCGTGTGTTGGGCAGCATCATCGCCACCGCTCCCGGTTATTATTGTTACCGCAGCCCCAAAACGGGTCCAGCAGCGCCGGCACTGACCGCTGCTGGTGGCGATGGAGCTGCCGCATGTCCACGGCGAGTACATCCCTCCCCAAAGCAGCGTTTACACATGGCTTGCGTCCAACCTGCCAAAAACCCCGTCCTCCCCCCTTTGCCTTCCTTCGGCAGGCTCGACAAGCGACGGCTGCGGCAAACGGGAGCGGTGAAGCGCTGGGGCTGAGCAGACGCAGTCACATTTACATGCTGTGCCATTGCTGACGCGCTGGCACCCGTCACCAGCCCACCCGCGGCTGCGCGAGGGCTGCACGAACCCCGAGTGCAGCAAAACCCTCTCTCAGCCATCGTTTCCTCTGCTGCCTTTGCTGCTCTCAGCCCTTGGAAGCAGCGAAGCTTTGCTGCCCTTCGGTTTAATCACCCCAAAGCTCTGACACGTGTCTGCTGCAGAACAGCACGTTTCCGGGTTGGTTTAGGGCTAAACGGCTCTTTCATCTCGACCAGTGCAGTTGGACAAGCACCACGCTGTGTTTTACCAGCAGCTGAAGGATGTGTTTATACGAGATCCTTTATGATCTGCTTGAAACAACTCCAGAGGCCAAGAAAGGCACGAGCCTGGTTTTGGAGGCAAACACAAAGTCTGGCTGGTGGGGACAGGGATGGAAGAAGGTGAAAACAGGCAGTTGGGGGTGCAGGAAGCAAGCAAGCCCCTGTATGCCAGTGCCTGCACTTAAACCCAAGAGTCTTGCCTCTGCTCAGCCTCCTGGGAGGGAGCAAACCCCTGGCTGCAGTCAGCCCCTGCTCCTGCCCCAGCTGGAAAGATGCATCCCCACAGCCCATCCTGTGTCCCATCCCCATCGGTGCAGCCATGCACCCAAGCCATCACCCACCACCGCAGACAAACAGCAGACTCTGCTGGAGCCAGAAAGGGGTGAGGTTCCACATCAGATCTCCCCCGAGAAAGGGAGACGGGGTGGAAGGAGACGAGTACGGAACCACAAGCTCCACACTGGCTTTTATTAAGCAAGACGGAGTTTCGACAGCAAACCCACACGTACAAAGAGCCCTTGGCTGTGTGGCTCTGTGTTCTCTCATCCCACAGCTCTGCGCTCTGCTGCTGGAGCCCTCTTTAATTAACCCAGACAGCAATCAGCTCCCTGACGCTGCACAAGCAGCCGCCGTTTCTGCACTCTCAGGATTCAGCTCCTTATTCCCAATCACATCGTTTTGTTGGCCAAGGAAGGGCCGATTCCTACTGAAAACACAGCACAAGCACGTGGATTTCAGCCTTTCTGATGGCGGGGGGACGGAGACACATGGGACATGGCAGTCAGGATCAGCTCTTGAACAGCCAATCCAGCAGGGATAATATCCAAAGGTATTTCCCTGCCCGTTCCTGTGGGCATGCGATCACACACTGCCCGATCTCCAAGGCATGAGCCACATCAGGATACCAGTTAGGCACCAGCAGAAGATGGGATGTCCACATTGCACACACCAAACCTGCCCCTGGGCTGCTCTGTAAATCACTGCTTTAGCTCCGGCCCAGGGCAGCCCCAAGACTTTAAGCCTGGATCTTCCCAGGGAAAGTGGAAGAAGGGATTTACCTACAGAGCCCTGGAGCTGCAGAAGGACAAGGCATTGCTGCAGTGTGCTGTAAACCAGCTCTGCTCCATCCCCATGCCAATGTTCTGGAGCATCAGTACCTGAGCACTGCTGCCATGGGAACCAACCCAGCCTTGCCATGCATCCCTCCACTGAGTCACCAACAGCAAAAAGAGGCAAGCTTTGTCACCTGGCCTCTTGGCAAGGGAAACCTCAGCCCTTGGGTCGCTGTGTCTGGAATCAGAGCCATGCTGTGCTCCTGGGCAGGAGGAGATGGAGCACACAGGGACTGTGCTGTCTGCCAACGGGGATGCCCCGTCCCCTCCCCGTACTTGAGCTCTCACACGCGAACGGCCGGGGGAGGGAAGATGCCGATCTCCTCCCGCAGGGATTCCACAGGCTGCTCCCAGCGCTGCTCGTAGTACACGTTCAGGATGCAGCTGGCGTTGCGCCCACTCCGGATCGCCCAGGGAATGAGCTCGGTGGCCAGGACCTGCAGCTTCCTGCAGCAAACGATACAGGAGGTGACGGCTCCGATTTCCATGTTTTGTGGTGGATTCCCTCCTCCAATTCCCCAGTGCAGGCAGGTGCCAAACCCATGTGTCCCATGTACCCTCCTGCTTAACTCCCAGGGGAAACTAAGGCACTGGGAAGGACACTGTGCCAGGGAGGTTATGGTCAGCAGCAACCCCAAGAGCAGAACTCAGGTTCTGCAATGCCCAAACTGTGCTGGGCCACGAGGTAGGGAATGGCCATCAGTGTGGTGAGGGTCCTGCTGGCCCTGAATACCTGCCCAGCCAAGGGCAGCCAGGCCTGGGCATCGCCCCTCCCAGCACAAGAGACTCAGCGCTGGAAGCAGACGAAGCACCAGGCTCTGCCAAAGCAGAGGTTCACAAGAGAACCCCTGATGGACTCCCCCCTGCAGCCTCAGCACCGTCCCCTCTGCGTCCCCAGAGGACACCAGGGAGCATCACCCAGGCTGGCACATCCCCACCGGTGAGTGCCTACCGTGCGCTGAGGTGGATGGGGCCGAACGCCGCTCCCAGGACACACATGGGCAGCCCCGTCTGGATGGCTTCGAACCACTTCACCACCACCTCACCTGGCAGGGAGCAGAGAGGCTGTGAGCGGGCAGGACACCGGGGGCAAGGGCCAGCCAGGGCCATGGGGTGCTGCAGCATGGGCTGCATCATCCGCCCCTTCCCAAGGGGGGCCATGCACCTGTACCCTCTGCCTCCATGGCAGGACTTGGGAATGCTTCCCAAGTCTGCCCATGGCTTCACCCTGTGCCAGGATGAGCGTTGCTGTGCATCACCCACCGAAGAGGGATGCTCAGGGTCCCCATGGGAGCAGCACCCCGCAGCCATAGAATCACAGAATCGACCAGGATGGAAATGACCTTTAAGATCATCGAGTCCAACCTTTACCCCAGCACTGCCAAGGCCACCATTAACTCATGGCACCGAGGGCCTCATCGATGTCTCATGAGCTTGGGAAACACCTCTGGGCTCCCTGCAGATCTTTAGCAATGCAGTTACTGCATCCTGATCCCACACACAGCTCTCCCTGTCCCCTGGGACAGGACAGACCTTTCCAAATGCTGCCAGGGCTCGGGCACAGCCTGCGTAGGAGCCAGCTCTCACAGGCACCAGCAAGGCTTGACTTGCAACTTGCTGTTGAGTCAGAGACAAAACGAGGGCAAAGGACACGGTGCTGTGCAGATCAGGAACAACCCGGAACCCCCAGCTTCTACCTTCACCCGCAGCTTGCGAAACGTGGTCCCCACGCCCTGTGTCACCCGCCCTGCCAGGCAGCAAACACCCATCAACAGCACCTCGGGCTCGGGCTGAGCATCTCCCAGCAGGGAAAAGGTGACTTCCCAAGGCCTCTCGGTCACCACGGAGCCAGTGGGGCACCGCGCTGTGGGTCCAAACCTCCTCCCACACCAAATGGGGCTGAGGTTGAGGAGCCCGACCAGCCCAACCTGCCCCACTCCCAGCACCACCGGTGGGGTTTGGCCCTGCGAGCCCCTTGCTGCTCACCCAGCATGTTGGTCGGCATGCCCAGGAGGGTGTGCATCATGTCATGGACCTCTCGGTACCGCTGGATCACGTACGCCAGTTCTTCATCATCCACAAACTTGGGTGGCATCCGGGTGTCCGGAGAAACCTTCTGCAAATCCAAAGAGGTCCAATCCAGCCCCTTCCAAACCTCAAGTCTGGCTTGGTTTTGGCTGAGGTGGAGTTAATTTTCTAGCAGCAGGTACAGTGCTGTGGATCGGATTGAGGATGACAAGAACCCTGCTAACACACTGGTGGTTTAGTTGTTGCTATGTAGTGTTTATACTAAAGGACTTTTCAGCTTCTCTTGCTGCCCTGACAGTGAGGAGGCTGAGGAGGCACAAAGGACACAGCTGGGACAGCTGATCCCAGCTGATCCAAGGGATATTCCACACCATATGGTGTCATGGTTGGAACATAAACTGGGTACTGAGCAGGCTGGGCATCGGTTGCTGGTGAGCAATTGTTTTTCATTTGCATCACTTGTTGGGTTTTATCTCTCTTGTTATCATCATCATCATCAGTGGTTCCCTCCATCAGCACAACTCCCAGTCCCCAATGATGGGAGGAAGCATCATTTACATAGACAAAACCCAAGGGCTGCTCCTTGGTGACAAATCCAGCATCATCCAACACCAGCATCCATCCCATCTCCCCAATCCCTCACTCCAGGAGGGCTCCCCACAGGTTCCTCCATTGCTCCAACCTCCCTCTAAAGCAAATCTGTGCTCCCAGTGACCAAGTGCAGCCCTCGGCACCCCCTGAACCCCACACTCACGTTGTCCTCCAAGAAGCGGACGTACTCCCTGCCCAGCGACCCATCTGGCAGCCCCCGTAGCCGGGACATGTCCAGGGTGGAGAGACGGATGCGGGGCCGTTCCCTGGAAGCAAAACACAACTCAATGAATTCACATCCTGGTCCTGGAGAAAAGGAGCCCCTGGTAACCCCACTGCCTGCCTCTGCCCTTCCTCACATGGATCCTCGCTGCAGGGATGCTTAAAGGCTCTACCTGAAGCCTGGGCAATAAAACAGCTTTCACCTTGCACCCCTGCAGCAGCTCTGGTTGGGAAACACTGATGTCTGCATTGAAACCTTTGCTGCTGGCCAGGCACAGCCCCCAGCAGGCAGCAGAGCCCTTTGGTGTCCCTGCAAAGCAGCCAGGGCTTCAAAGGAGCAACACAGGGCAAGGAGCAGGGGGGATTTCACTCCCCAGCCCTTGGTGCCTTTGCTGTCCCCTCTCCTCTGGGTCCCAGCCCCATCTATGTGCTCCAGGTGCTTTGCTGGGTCAGTGCCCGGAGTCAGGACCAGGCTGCTCTGCACAAACACAGGGCAAAAGCTATTCCCCAGCTCCTACATCCCAACGGGACATCCCAAACGCTACACAAGCAACAGGCTTGGTATGTAATGAGAAGTGGGGAGAAGCAGGCAAACAAGCAGTAGGATTTGGTTAATAAGAGGCTCATGAAGTCCCTCCTGGCCCTCAGCCCTGCTGCGCTCCACAAGTCCCTGTAGACATGGAAACAGAAGTGATCAAGGCTTAACAAGGAAGACGAGAAGTGGCCTCGTTTCACAGCCTGGGGAGATGCTGCAGGCACCAGGAAAGAAAGCAGGGAGGTGTCTGAGGAGGAGGGAGACCAGTGGAGATGAAGTCTCCGATGCGGAGATGCAGCAGCAGGCACAGGGGAGAAACCCATGGATGTGGTGGGGTTTTATCAGTGCCCAGCATCCACGGAATCCTCCCCTGCGCCTGCTGCTGCATCTCCTCGTGCTGGCACCTGCCAGTTCCAGCAGCGAAGCAGAACAGACAGTGTGAAACAGGGCTGGGCCCAGCGGCTGCTGCTGCTCTCACCCTCAGACTGCCCCAGGGCTCTTGCGATGGAGTAAAACAAACAGCTTGAGGCTCAGAGCTGCCAGACTCCTGTGCTCCCCCTCCACAGGGCCCAAGGAACGCGCTGGGCCTCGTGTCTCCCTCCCCACCACAACCCACGGGGCCAGGGAGGGATGCGAGGGACGCACTGGAGGATGCGGTAACCTTCAGGGTGATGCCTCATCTTGTCGCGCAGGTTGGGCAGGGCCAGGCAGCCCGTGGTCTCCCCCAGCACTGCCACCATGTCTGAAAGAGAGAGCAGAGAGTGACCCAAGAGACGGTTCCACAACAGCCCCTTGCCCTCGGCTGGCGGGTGAGCAATGGGGCAATGAACGCCCTGGCCGGGAGCAGGCTGCGGCCAAGCAGGGACCCACAAACCGTGGATCTTCAGCCTCAGGGGGGCTCTGCCACGGTGCCACCCGCATGGAGGGATGCAGGAGCAGGCATCAGGCCTGGGGGGGTGCCGAGGAGGAATGAAATGGGGCTGGGTGGCACTGTAGGGAGTCAGGAGATCACTGCGGGGTGTTTGGGGTCCCTCAGCCCCTCTCTTCCACAGCTCTCTGCTTGCTGCATCAGTGAACGTCTCACCCAACAGCAGCAGGCACACAGAAACACGCAGGAGACCGGGACAAGCTTCGCCGGACGTTACCAAGGGCGCTGGGTGGAAGGAGCTCCCTGGCTGCGCTTACCGTGTCTGTAGGGGTCATACAGAGCCATAGCGGCCGAGCCGGCCGCCAGCAGCGCTTTCTGCAGCGGGCTGGTGGGGATGTGCCCGGGGTACAGCCGGTAGCACCCCCCATCCTCCTCCTCCTCCTCCTGCCCGTGTCCTTGCCGTGCCCGCCGCTCGCTGTGGCTCAGACCGGCGCTGCCTGCGGGGAGCGGGGGTGAGGAACCGGCCCGGGGCGCGCAGCGCTCGGACACCCTCGGGGCTGCCCACGGGGAACAGGAGCGGGGCACTTGCCTGGGGCACCGGAACCCGCCCGCACCAGCGGGGCCCGCGCCGCCGCCCGCCGCAGCAGCAGCAGCGGCAGCAGCATCGCCGCCACCGCCGGCCCCGGAAGCTCCCGTCGGTGCTGCGCACCCGGGGCGGGGCGGGGAGCGCGCAATGGCGGCGGGAGCGGTGCCCGCGGGGCTCTTCGCCGTGTACAAACCGGCGGGGGTGGCGTGGGGCCGCGTCCGCGCCGCGGTGGAGACGCGGCTGCTGAGCGGTGCGAGCGGCGGGGACCGGCGGCGGGAGCCCCCCCCTCCCCGGTTACCGGCTGCCCCTGACCCAGCCCTTCCCTTGCAGAGCTCAACGAGGGCCCCGGCCGGCCCCTGCCGCAGCGCGTCCGCTTCCTGCCGGCCCCGGGCCGCGACGGCGCCACCGAGCTGGTGCCCACCATGGTGCCGGTGCTGCCCCAGCACCCCCTCGGTAAGCGGGGCCTCGGCCCCCGGGGTGGGACGGGGACGACGGTGGGAGCCCCGCCGGGGCGGGCTCTGACTCGGTGTCCGTTGCAGTGCGAGGCCCGCGGTTCAGGCGGCTGAAGATGGGAGCCGGGCACCGGCTGGACGTGAAGGCGTCGGGGGTCTTCGGTGGGTCCCGGCCCGGCGCATTGCGAGGGGATGGGTGTGCATGTGGGGAGGAAGCGGCGGGCGCTCGGCCCCGGCCCCAACCCGCTGTGCTAAGACACGGGAGAAAAGATCCCCCGGGATCCCAGCAGTGGCAGGAGATGGGGGCAGCCCCTTCCCCCTGCACACGGGGTTCTGCTGGGGGGGCACCAAGCTCCTGCCACTTAACCCCACCTGAAACGGCCTCACTGAGTGTTTGTGCTGAAGGTGGAAAGCTCTGGGGCAAGGGGAGAGCCCTGCTCACAGCCTTGTAGCTTTAACGACAGGCGGTGATTGGGGGCCTGATTGCTCGGCTCAGATGTGACTTCTAAGGAGATGTGGCCCTGACCTGGGCAGGCAGAAGAGTGTGAGCCTGACAGCGCTGTGTGAATGCTCATCAGTAACTTCCCATGTGGCTGAGTAACGGGTTCCCTCCCATCTTCTGTGTTTCAGTTCTTGGCATAGGCCATGGGAACAAGCTGCTCACTGACCTGTACAACTGCCACCTGAGCAGGGTAAGTGTTGGCTCTCAGCAGCCTCAGAACATCCAAGTGCAATCACGCTTGATTCCTGCCCCAGGGCCCAACTGGGCCTTTGGACCTTCTGCTTCGAGTCTCAAACCCATCAATGCTTTTGGGAGCTTTTCGGGGTCCAGAACTTCATCCTTCACGCGAGCATCTGCACATGAGCAGAGGATGCTGCTGTAGCCTGCACCTCCTCACAGCAGCATGGCACAGTATTGCTGCTCAATAACTTGGAATATTTCTGTGATCACTTGCACTCTTTGCCTTCCTTCAAGGCTTACACTGTCGGTGGGCTGTTCGGCAAAGCCACTGATGACTTCTCGGACACAGGGAAGCTGGTGGAGAAGACGACATTTGGTAAGGAACTGAACTGATGTGGTTTTAAAACCACCAAAATCCGAGCACCAAAGAGTGTGCTGCCTGCAGAGCATTTAACCAGGTGAATTACAGTGCTAAAAGGTTACCTGCTTTCTAGGCATTACATTTACATGCAGCCCATGTGCAGGGTGAGGTGTTAGTTCACCTATTTGTAAATACAGCCACAACACAAAGCCAGGATGAGTCCTGAGCACAGTGATTGCTGCTGGAGTGCCTGGGACCTGGATCTCTCCGTAAATCACACTCAGATATAGGGGTTAGAAGCTGTCCAGTGAAACTCTTCAACACCTGATAAGAAAAACTGGAACCAAGGTCTTGAAATCAGTTAAAGAAAATGATTCCTGCTCTGTGGTCAAGCACTGCTGCTCTGTGCATCCCCATGGTATAACCAGAAGTGACTCTGCTAAAGCCACCTTTGGCAGTTCCCATCAGCCTGGTTTGATCCCTGACGGCACATTCCATCCACTGGCTCTTCCCAGTTTCTGGAGGGATAATTGAGATTCCTTTCTACCTTTCTATTTGCAGATCATATCACAAGGGAGAAGCTGGAACGGATTCTTGCTGTCATTCAAGGGACGAATCATAAGGCCCTGCTGATGTAGGTATCCAGTGGGGAAATGCAGCCGACCTCATCCAGTTGCCATTTGTTGGTCCTTAAAACAAAGGAGATGATCTTGTTTGCCATAATCAAAGCCTTTAAAGATTGGAGTGCTAGACAGGAACAGAGAGAAGAGTACAGAGTGCTCTGTACTGTGGTGGGAGGTCACAGTTAAGTGTCCCTGTTGTATCCTGAATGTCCAGCTATTTTAGGACCCATTAGCTGCATCAATGGGCACACCAATGTCTTGTGGACTTGACCCAGTACCTCCCTCTCAAGCTGTGCTACACTGTGACAGTACAGACACCATTAGGATGTGTGCAAAACCTCAACACACAGATGTAAGAATAAAACCTGCAGCTCTGCTTTATTGGGGTGGGGATATTTTTGAGTCCCATCAAATGGAAGTGCTTGGTGTCAGCGCTGCTCCCTTCTGGTTTTGTTGCAGGCATTCTAACATTGATATGAAAACACAAGAGGCCTATGAGCTGGCTGTCAGAGGCTTGATTCGCCCCATGGGGAAAAGCCCTCCCATAATCACAGCAGTCCGATGCCTCCAGTTTGCACCTCCAGAATTCCAGCTAGGTAGGTACCAAATATATATAATGGGGAAGCCTGTGTATGCGTTATAGCAAATAAGTCAGGAAAACTTGAGTTTCTTGTTCCTGCAACAAAATGACTCCTTATCCCAGTGGTTCAGTACAATGCATTAGTGTTGGGTTGGTTTGGTTTGGTTTCTAAAGCAGGGTTTGCTTTGCTGCGGCCAGTCTCCTGCTCCTCACAGACTGGCTTATTTAAAAGGTACCTTTTCTTATCCCCTTTGAAATACCTCAGTTTCCACATTACTGTGGGTTTGTTTCTAAAACGTTCACCTTGGTGGGGGTTAGGACAGCCTGAAGTATTCCAGAAAATCCCAGTCCCCCTGTGCTGTATCTTAAACAGCCTCTTCTACCAAACCTGTTCTTCAGCACGACTGTGATTGATGTCTGCATTAACAGACAAGGTCTGAGTTTGCCAACACTTTGCCGCTCCTGAAGGAACCTCTCTTGTGTCTCTAGAAATCCACTGCTTGCACGAGACCCAGCAGTACCTCCGGAAGATGGTCCACGAGATTGGCCTGGAGCTGAAGTCCTCTGCAGTGTGCACACAAGTGCGCAGGACACGCGATGGCGTCTTCACGCTGGACGATGCTCTCCTGAGGAGCCAGTGGAGCCTGCAGAACGTACGCAGCGCAATTTGGAGCTGTGAGTCCAAGGTGCAAGCAGAGATAGAGAGAACGTTGGGCCATCAGGATGGCAGTGACCTTCCTCAGCTGGACGTGGAGATGGCCCACGCTGCGGACAACTGAGTGCGTGCGACGCAGGGAACATCCCCAAGCAATCTCTGGAGCACAGGAACGCAGCTGCACGCTGACAGGGTGATGGACAGCGGTAGGAAGGAGGTTAACTGCAGTTCACTTCCACCCTTCTCCTTGAGATGACTTGAAGCAGGGAGGCACTTTGCCAGTGACAGGCTGTGTTATTTTCTTAAAGCCTTGCAAACAGTTCATTAACAGGAGCGAGCTGTGACCAGATTCCTGGTGACTTCGGGAGCATGAGCTTGCTAACGGATATCAAACCCCATCCCCAAATTTGTTTAGCAGCAGGAAATAGCGCCTTGGAGAGCTGCAGTCACTTGATTGCACAGATTTGTTTGTTCCTTGCTGCGAGCAGCAGAACTTACCCACTTTGTTTTCCCTCTGTTGTCCTAAAGCATTCTCTTTCTATTAGCCCTGCTTTCAGGCATTGAAGAGCTCAAAATCAGACTAAGAGGGATGTGCTGGAGGAAACACAGCTTACACAAAGCAATGCAAGGAAATAGTTATATCCAGAGTAGGCGTGAGTGATGGGAAAGTGCCTTGTAATAGGGGTTGGCATGCAAGATACACAAGGAATAAAACTGAAAGTGCCCTAAATGGGAGGGTAAAGGGGAAGAGGCTGGTTCTTGGCTCTACTCATCCATGCATACACTGACTCATTAAAAAAGAGGATGCTTTCCCCCCTCCCCAGGGAACCAAGGGTGTTCAGAGGTCTCTGGTATCCTGCTCTGCAGCAGCTCCATGCAGACAGCATGTACTGCCCTTCAGTGGAGCTCTGCAAGCTCTGTAATACCACTTGTTCCCTGTTAGCTCATTACAGCTGGGTCTGACTTTGCAGAAATACTTTCTAAATGCAAGTTAAAACTGAAGTTACAATTCATACTGCACTCAGTACACTCACTGTTCTTCCAGCTGACAATCAGTGAGTATGGAGATGTATTTATAGAAAGTAGAAGATGATTTGTTCTATTCCTCTCCTGCTTTTAGACAAAGCCCAGCATTATTCCATCCTCCAGATGAGAGCCACTAAGGTGCAAGAGGAGCAGTAAGGGGAGTCCTGTGTGCGCAGTCCTGTCCTGGAGCACCCCAGGAATCATTAACTTAGACCCTGAATCTTTCAGCTCTGGGTTTCCCTGCTCTGCACAGAGCAGCAGTGGAGTGTAGGTGCCACCATGTGGCACAGGACCATGGGACTCCCCAAGGGCAGCTTGCTCTTACCTCAGCTCACTGGTTCTGTAAGCATTCATCATCTATGGATGAGCTGGGATCAGGGCACCTTCCATGGACAACTGCCTTGTGCTAAGTGAAGCTTAAACCCATCACTGCAGAAGCGTGAGCTCTGGAGCCAGGCACTTGCATAGCTACAGCTGGAAGTCTTAATCCTTGTGCTCCTACAAGGAGGGGAAGAAAACATGGACTTCTCAGTCCCCAAATACCCTTCAGCTGCTTTGGTAATGGAGAATACTTCATCCCCCATGGCTTACACCTAACAGTAACAGAAGGAATTTGTGTACACACATCCCATTGCAAAAAAACCCACTTCCAGTTGGGTGTGCCACTGCCAGGCCAATATTTGGGTTGGAACACTCCAGGCTAAACTGGTTCTTCCACACACAAAATACCAGCCAGAACAGCAGTGGGCATTTGAGAACAAAGAGAGCATTTCCCAGTCCTGGCTGCCTTGTGACATTATTCCTCCCCTTAAAACTACTCCTAAAGCACTTAGCAAGGGGGGGTTATGGTGGGGACAAGATGCCTGTACCCATGAGAGTGTTCTTACATAGCCCCAGTAAAAACCCTCCAGAGAAGCACAGCTGGACTTGCTGGAATACATCCCAGGAGACGTAGGCTTTGTCCACCCTCTGCTTTAGACCCCTCCCCACAGCTTTTGTGGCAAAACAAGATACTTGTCAGTGATGCTTCTGTGCCTGGTCCAGAACCAAGAACACAGAGACAATCATCTGTTCTCAGCAGCCTTGTGACTGTTTTCTGGTTTCCAAGCACAGATTCGTTTGATTTAAATGTGGAAATAAAGAGCAGAGACTGCAGCAAGAGAGCAGGGGGGACACTTACTGGTTAGAAAGTCTTTGAAAGTAGAAATGGGCAGAAGGACATCAAGCTTGAGTGAGAAAGGGACACCAGCTCTGCAGTCAGCAGGGTGCTCCATCACTTGGAACTGCCCAAAGCAGCCAAATTTAGGCTGTGAAGTCACCATCAATCCTAAACCTGACATTGAAACACTCCTGCTCTCCAGGTACATTCTGTGTTTAGGGCACCTCTCATTTCCACAGTGACGCTGCATTTAGAAGAGACTAAAGGTAATTCTGCACCTACCCATTGCTGGGTAGTGTTGCCACGCTGGCTCCATTAAGAGTCCTCAGAAAACACTTGAATAATGGATGTTATAGATGTCTCAGAATACAGCTGAAGGATTTGTTCCCAGTTCATGCAATGGTTTATAGGCTTTTACAGTGAGTTACTGAGGAATGTGATAGCTGCTTTATTCAGACAGCTCAACACAACTTCACATTTTGCCATTTGCTACAGGAATGGTACAGAACCTCTAGATACCAGAGTAAATAATACAGAACACCCAGAGTTACCCAGATTGGATCATAAACCAAACCACATCGGAATTCTTCCTACTTCTGAGGGCTTTTTCTTGTCTTTCAAAGCAACCACTACATTGCACATGTGTGCCCTCACTTCCTCTATACATCCAGTAACCAAATAGCTGCTGGATGCAGTAGAGAAGCAAAGACTCCATGGGAATAGTCTTAACATCAACCACCTGGAATTACCACCTTTCCCATAAAGGAATACTGTTAATCAGGTAGCAGACAAGTTATCCAAAGCCCTACATCCCTTTCCCACAAGCAGGAAACAGCTGACAGATTCAACAACTTTCATGTTCAGAGCTTCTTGGAAAGAAGGCTGTTAACCCATGCTCTGTTGCAACTCTACACACATACTTCCAAGGCCACCTTAGGTCCGTTCTAAACCAATACAACAAAAGCATAAGAGCTCAGTAACAGTCATTTCTGCAGGACGTGGCAGTCTTGAGGTTCAACACTAGTCACTAAGCTCCAGATCATACTCAGGGTAGAGCTGCTTTGTAGTAACCCCTCGGATAACAGCTAGAAAAGAAAGAAACACCATTGCTTTCATTAAGCAGAGATCAGATCAGTCAGAAAAGTTGTGCTTGCATCCCAGTAGCCCCAGTCCCACAGAGCCTCCCACAGCAAAGAACCCAGCAGCTTCTCTCTGTCTATATGAAAGCACTATCAAGGTCTTCAATAGCTTTCCCCTTCCTCACCCAGTTTGCCCAGCAGCATCTGCCCAGCATCTTTAATATCGTTATACTCGTGGAGCAGAGAGATGTGCTTCTCCAGTTCCTCCAGGCTGTAGCCTCTGTAAGGATAAAACCAGAAAGGTCAAAATGACACAGAGGGATTCCTGCTGCTGCACAGCGAGTGCAGCCACGGCTGACCCAGCACAGCGAGGGGGTTAGAGGTGTTCAAGCCTGGCACCTCAAAAGCAGAGCCTGAAGGCAGCAAGTTCAGTTGGTGCAAGCTGTAAATGAGCAGATCCTCAATTTGAGGGGTTTTGGCTACATCAAGACTTAGCAGAATAAATCCACCCAAAATCAAGCAGAAACGGGAATAGGCAGTGGTGACCCCAAGCTGTGTGTGTCTCTAACCTATAGCTAGGGAAAGGAATGAAGATCTGTTTAACCTTAAGTATAGAACAGCTTTTGGAACAACCTCTGTTCTACCATTCCCATTCTATGCTCTACCTGTTACCCTAGAAAATACCACTCCTTTGCATCCAATACCCCAGAGGCTCCCCCCTCTCTTTCAAACCAAGCAGCAATTTTATCTCAACCCAGTTGCTAATAAGCAGCTGCCACAGTGCGTCATCAGAAACCACAATGACACGGTTGCACTACCCTGTAATGCAGCACCCATCAGGCCAAAGCGTTCTACAGGCCACTTGCCTGCCTGGCAAACACTTCAGCTTCTTGATATGAAGGCTTAACCTGCCTCAGGCACAATGTAAGCGGAGTCTTGATCAAGATGGAACAGGAAAGGAAACAGTTTTATCTGGGATAAATTCATCGTCTCCATCTCAATTCCCACAGGAACAAGCTTTCCCAGGGTTGTGTCATCCTCATGGTTAAAATTATCCATTCCCATAGCCACATGAATTACCTCAGCACCATCTGGGGTAAAGTTAAAACCCTCTTATGCAAGCTCCTGGTCAAACTTGCTTTGCTTCAGCAAATACAGCAGAAAATTCCCTCCTGTCTCTAACAGGCCCCATAAATCAAACCCACACCATAACCAGCACTGTAGAGCACCATGATAAAGCCAGGCTCACAGGAGGTCAGCTCTTGGCTCTAACCCCCGCATCAGGTTGTGTTTCAGAACAAAGGAGGCATCGGAGCTTGCCAAGGACATACTCAGACAATAATTGTGCAATTTCCTGGTCCAGAGCAAGGTCTTTCTGCTTCAGCTCTTCAATTTCATACTGGAGGGATTCGTTGTTGTCTCTATTGGGTTGGCAGGGCCTTGGAGATGGGATCTGTGGAGCACAGAGGACGTTTAACACTAACTCAGCCCTGGATAAGCTGCTGGGTGCTGGGTGGAGGGCACTAATCAGAGAATACTTGATGTGTCCCTGGAGAAAAGTCAAAAAGGGATAAAACACCTCCTGGGCAGGGAGTGGAGGGAAACGGGTGAAATATTTACTTGTTTGGCAATATTAGCCTGCTCCACACGGTATTCATGGAATCCCAGCCTGGTTTGGGTTGGAAGGGACCTTAAAGCTCCTCCAGCTCCAACCCCTGCCACGGGCAGGGACACCTTCCACTAGAGCAGCTTGCTCCAAGCCCCTGTGTCCAACCTGGCCTTGAGCACTGCCAAGGATGGGGCAGCCACAGCTTCTCTGGGCACCCTGTGCCAGCGCCTCCGCACCCTCACAGGGGAGAGCTTCTGCCTAAGAGCTCATCTCAGTCTCCCCTCGGGCAGGTTAAAGCCATTCCCCTTGGCCTGTCCCTACGTCCCTTGTCCCAAGCCCCTCTCCAGGTTTCCCGCAGCCCCTTTAGGCACTGGAGCTGCTCTCAGGTCTCCCGTTAATGCGCTTTCCCTTCTCCAGGCCGAACCAGTCCGGCTCCCTCAGCCCACCCCTAGCGCGGGCGGGGACTCACCGGTGACTTGAAGCCGGCAGCGCCGCTCCGCCGGCCGCCACCGGAGGCCCTGCAAGGCAGAGGGGACGCGCATCAGATGCCGGACTCCTGCACAGTGAGGGGAAGGGGCGGCGGGGACCGGCTCCTACCTCCTCAGCGGGGCCCGCGGCGGCGGGGCCGGGCTGCGGCCTGCGCTCGGTGAAACCCGCTCGGCCACGGCTGATGCCTCCCGCCGCACCGGCACCGGGTGCCGCAGGGCATGCTGGGAGTTGTAGTCCCGGTGCCCCCGACACGGCCTGGCCGTGGTTCCTGCCCCCGACGGCTATGGGGTTGCGTTCGGGATGGGGTCTCGGGGAGCCCGGCCACGTACAGCCCGTACGGCCACCCTGCGGGATGGACTGACAAGAGCCTTATGGAGCTCCCCAAGGAGAGCACAGTGAGCAGCTGTGCCAAAGGAAGGCACTGGGATGCTTGAGAACATCAAGAAGATCAGCAGCAGAGATAAAGCTGTCATTGTCCCACTGTGCTCAGCGCTTGCGTCGCCATACCTGGAAACTGTGCTCAGTTTTGGTCCCCGCTGTATGATGTGGACAGGCTGGAGAGGGTCCAGAGAAGGGCCACACTGGACACGTAATGTTCAGATGGACAACATGGCTAAGGGGTTGGAACTGGATGATCTTCAGGTCCTTTCCAACCCAAACCATTCTGTGATTCTATGCTGGCACATCCAGTATGGGTCATGCTTTGCCCAGAAAGGTTGGACCTTTCCAACCTGGTATCCTATGATTCCATGACTCCTGGACCAGTGCTGGAGGAGTCTGGTGCAGTGCCAGGGGCCAGCAGCACCATATCCAGTTCCCTGTGCTGACCGCACAACCCAAACACTGCAGCTGCCACACTTGGAAACTCAAGGAGCTCGGGAACGGGATCAAACACCCGCAGGACCCATCCGCCCGCGCTGACCGCGGCTTCAAAGGCAGCGCTGGGGCATCATCACAGCGATGCACGGGCAGCCAAAGCCACGCGGCTCCGCAGGACGTGCCCCGCGAAGGACGCGGGAAGCCTGCCCAGCTCCCCGGGCTGCTCTCCAGACAGCGTCTGCCCCGGGCGACTGAGTCAACGCAGGAACGCGGGGCGTCACCGGGCGCGGGGCCGGGTGCAGCACACCGGGGGAGCCGGGCACGGTGCCGCACGCAGCCCGGGGAGCAGCGCCGGGAGCCGCGTTCCGGCCCCCCCCCATGGACGAGCTCCGGTGAGGCCGCTCCGGCGGCAGCTCGGGCCGGGCCGGGGCGGAGCCTGGCGGCCGCCTCCGCCGCTCCCCGCCGCGGCTGACGTGGCCCGGGCGCGGGGCGGACATGGCGGACGGCAGCAGGCAGAGCAGGCTGGCGGCGGCCAAGAAGAAGGTGAGGGGACCGGTGAGGGCCGGGCCGGCGACGGCCGGGTTCTATGGGCACAGGGCGGATGGGAGCCGCCGGAACGAGCCGGGCTGAGCCGGGCCCGGCCTCCCCCCCGAGGGGCACGGGTTTGGGTTTGGGCCTGCTCCGGGCCGAGCCGCGCTGGAGCCGCCGGGAGCCCCCGCGGTGTCCGCAGCCCGGGGGAGGTGGCCGGGGAGAGGCCGGGTCTGCGCTGCTGCGGTGCGGGCCGGAGGTTTCCCCTCCCTGCCCCTTCTCTCCCTGCTCTTTCCCTTCCCCCCCATCCCCCCTGTTTTCCCTTATTTTCCCTTATTTTCCCTTCTTATTTTCCCTTATTTTCCTTTATTCCCCCTCCGCGGCCGCTCGGCCCCGTCCGTCCCGGTGGGATGCGCCTGTGTCAAAGTCACAGCTCAAGTGTCCTGGAGCAGTTGAGGCTTCCATTTTGAGATCCTCCCAATAATGGGATCCTTCCTATTTATTCCACCTCCACCTCGACACCGGCCTGGCAGCGGGGACAGGGGTTTGCCAGGGGCAGCAGGGGGCTGGTGCCAATGGGCTGTTTACATAAGCTGCGTTTGGGGCTTAGGTGTGCAGTAACACACCCCAAAGGCCGTCAGAGCCGGCAGGATCCACGTTCCGGCTTTATCAGAGTGGCTTTGCCTGGGTGCAGGCGATAGGATTCAAAACCCGACTGCAGATTGCTTCTCCCTTCATTGTGGTATTGCAGTGTCTGTGCTCATGTGTTATCTGCCCGTGGGGATTGTCATTTCCTCCCTGAAGTCCTTGATAGAGTGGAAGATCTTGCTCCCAGACCCTGCTTTCTCACTTTGCATTCGGGATTAGTTGCCCGTTTACGTTTTTTGCTTATTCCTCCTAGTTATAACCCTAACCCGCCCCCCAAATACATATTTGAATCTCCTTTTAGTTGCGGCATCACGTTTCCCAACAATATTGTTAGCTGTGTACAGAAGCTGAACATATACAACTCACAGCCACTGTCGTAAACCCATCACATTCGTTCTTGCTTCAGGGTTCTCTGGACTTAGAATAGTTCAGGTTGGAAGGGACCTTAAGATCATCCAGTTCCAGCCCCCTGCCATGGGCAGGGACACCTCACACTAAACCATCTCACCCAAGGCTCTGTCCAGCCTGGCCTTGAACACCACCAGGGATGGAGCATTCACAACCTCCCTGGGCAACCCATTCCAGTGCCTCACCACCCTAACAGGAAAGAACTTCTTCCTTATATCCAACCTATATCTTCCTTATATCCAATCTGCCTTTTCTGGCTCATTGAACAGCATTTCTCCTTGCACTGGATCTGTCTTTTCACCCAGTGGAGTTTGGGCTGGGGGCTTTTTTTGACCATATAGAAGGCGTCATTCTGTCTGGACTTCAGAGTATTCCTTTTTTCACAGCTTAAGGAATATCAGCAGAAGAACAACCCCGGAGCAACCGCAGGGACAAAGAAAAAGCGCAAAACTAAAGAAGACAGTCGAGCAGAAACTCCTCCCATCGACGACCAGCAGCCTCCAGAGAACGTGAGTGCTCATCCCTTCTCCCTCATCATTTCCCACCTCCTTGGTCTTTGGTTTTCCAAACAGCATGGCTGAGACTGGGAAATGGTTATGGGGGTGTGATAGATGAATGCTGCAGGTGCCTGTGTGGCCAGGGTGCTACAGCACTACAGCAGTTGGCAACTACCTCTCCTGGAAGGTACACACTAGAGTCAGGGTACGTGCTGAAGCGGTGTCTGATGCGGTCACAGAGGCCTGGGTGCATCCAGAGCTGCTGTTTTGAGGTGCATGCTCCGATGGAGGATGCTGGTTTCTTTGCCTGCCTTTGATTGACATTTTCTCTCTGTCCTTTGCTGAGCCGTTTCTCTTACCCCTTTTCTTTCACCTCCTTTAGATTCAGAACATTCTGAAGGTGCTGGTGTCAGACCTTAACCGCTCCAATGGGGTAGCCATACCCTCATTGGACAAGAGGAAGGTGAGGCAGTGCTCGTGTCCTTCGCAGTCACTCCCTCTCCCTACTGCATGCTTCGGGTTCTGTTTACACTGACCTCGACTTCTTTGGATGGAGCCTTGTCCTGACCATCAGTTGCTTGGGTTTTGTTGCTGTTTCTGTTAACATGGAGCTCTTCATTACCATGCATTTCCATTGCTCGTGCTTGTTTCCTTCTGGTTTGGGTCAAACTGAACATGTGGAAAAGTGAACCTTGTCAAAAACTCTTCCTTGAGACAGCTGAGCTTTGAGGAGAACCGGGAATTTAGGCAAGAAACTAAGGAAGAGGTGGTGTTTTCTTAGTCTGTATTGTTCCCGTTCCGTGTGTCATTGCTTTCTTTCCCAGAGCCTTGTTTCTGAAGGGCATGTTTCTGCTCATCTCCAGGCAGAGCAGCTGCCCAGGGAAAACTTCCTAGTTATTCCAGCCAGCCCGTTTTAAGACAGGCAATGAAAGTTGCACAGCTGATGTACAGTCTGGCAAGGACCACGGGTTTAAATATGTTTAGGCAGGAAGTCAGATACCTCAGGTCAAGTATTTGCAGGCTCTAGCGTCCTCACGTTTCCAGAGGAAAGGGCACTACGTTGGTAAGAGCAGAGATGTGTTCGGGAGCAAATGTAAATAAGCAGCTTTAAAAAACCCCAGCCTATTTTCGGGTAGTTTATTTAAATAAGGCTCCATTTGTGACAGAAACTCAGAGAAGTCAAACTGAGAAACCTGCAGGATGGAATGGAGTTAGCTCTGAATTGCCTTTGTATCCCTTTGCTCCTGACAACACAGCAGTTCTTCTGTCCGACACGTAGCAAAGAGCAGTAAGTTCTTCCAGCTAGACCTTGCTTGTGTAGGGTGAGTGATGTGCAGACACCTTGCCAGCTTTGAGGGTGCTGGATGCGCCTGTCTGGCAGCACCAAGCATGTGTTTAGATTGAATTGTCACTCATGTCATGGGGAACTGCTCTGTTAATACTCCTGAGTTTTACCTGAGAGACTTGTTTCACATTGGAGGGTGAGATGGAGATGGGTGCTCCTGTGCTGCTGCTGAGGTGGCCTTCCAGTGTCTGCAGCTTTAGTCCTGTTCTGCTATTGGAGAGTTCAGCACTTCTATTCATTCTTGTTCTCCCATTCTGCCCTTATCAGGCAGAGATATATTGTATCTGATTGTCTGTTATGGAATTTGTGGATTTAGGAGTAATGTGAAAACTAATGTCTAACTGCAGTATGTAATGAAAGAAGGATTTCTCCTTCCAGTTGTTGTCTTGCAAAAACCCTGAGTCAGGAAAATGCTGTTCAGAAACTCACTTGATGCTAATAGGGCAGAAAAGCTGCTGTTAGCATCTGAGCTGCTTGCTGCTGCCATTGGTGTCTTAATGAGAGGCAGAGCCCTCCCACCTCACCCACTTGAGCTCTCTTGGCTGTGAAACACAGAAAAACCAGCAAAATAGGAGCCTTTGTGTGAAAGCAAATGGATCCTACTATATGCTAAGCTGAGCAGAATTACTAACTTCTCCTTGGACATTACAGAACCTCACAGTGCATGATTTAGTCTCTTGCTCCTAACTCTTCCTTTGTTTCCAACAAATTCAGCTGCTCCAGTAGTCTGGGGCTTTTTGAAGGAATCATTTCTAAACTGTTTCTTGTGGAGGAAGAAGGAGTTCTTGTGGTCAAGGCACGTTACTGGTTGAAGCATTAAGCTAAGACAATGTCTTGGTCAACAGAAATTGAGATGGACTGGGGAAGGGGTTCCTCCTGTCCACCTGATGTTATATATTGATGAGTGTTTGAACCAATAAAGGTGAAGTAACCTGTGGCTGGAAGAAGTAAGGGCATTCCTGACCTTCCTGTAAGCACCTCACATATATTGCTCCTTGAGAGGACAAGGATCTGTCCTGCTGGAAAGACATGGGGAGAATTCTGTTTGTTGCCCTCTGCAATCTTTCAGCTCATTGCTTTCATTAAATCTCACTAAATGTCTTTGCTGTTCCTGTATTCCTCTTGCTGCTTGATTCATGAGTGAAGCGCTGAGCAGGTAAACAAGGAATGCCAAGAGAGAGATTTCTTGTCTCCTGTGAAGTGCCAAGAAGGGAGTGACCGAAGTAAGAGGGAATTTGTTCAGATGGAATTGCAGAGAGCTGCAGTGTTTTGGTGGAGTTGAATGTTACAAGATTATCTCATTTGCTTTGTAGGGTTTTTAATGATGACTTAGCAGAGCTGGCTGATAAAATAAAGCATCTAGATGCCATAAAACATCTGTGCATGTTTTAGGGGGCCTTTATAGCTCTCTGATGCTGTACAAGGTAGATGAAATAGTCCACTTTGGCTTGGTAGAGGTGTCATCAGATCCTCTTCATCCTCCCACGAAGGTTGGATTAGAACTTGCATCGCTGTCCAGAAATAGTTTTTTGGCTCTTCCTTTTCCATTTAGATTCTTGTAGTCATGGGATTCATAGCACCAGCAGGGCCCCAGGCACCTGCTCCCAGCCACACCGACTTTGACCTGTTCAGAAATGTCCTGCTTCTAAACTTGTGGTTCATGACATGCCCCAGGTTTCACCGAGCTTGAGACAGAGCCTTTGAGTTTGAGCAGCCCAGTTTCCAAGTACTCACTAAGCTGTTCTTTCCCATCTGAGTTTGCATACAGTGATCCGTGTTTTCCCCAGACGCATCCTGAAGGCAGTGCTTTTCAAGGCAGGGTCACAGCCATCAGGGTCACAACCAACCTCGCTTGGTTTTTGGGGGATGCTTTGCAGTAAATCTAGCGTGTGAACTTAGACCTGGGGGATATGATTACCATAGAATCATTCAGGTTGGAAGGGACCTCAGAAGATCATCTGGTCCAACCTTTTGCAGGAAAGGAAGCCAGTATTAGGTATTATTGCCTGTGTTAAAGGAGTTTGATTATGGGACACTGGCTCTGAGAGGGCTCAGGTCTAGGACAGTGTTTGTGGGTTGATGCAGTCACCTCTTCGCTCTGGGGAGAACACAGATTCCCTTCCACATGTCTCCCAATGGTTGATGGCTCACATCTGTCTAGTTGTCACAGGCAGATCACAAGGTGATGTGTTCACGTGTGGTGTTGTTCACTGTGCATGAAGGCTGTAATTCCTGTATGTGTTTTGTGACAGGCATACTTTGACAGTGATGTTGCCACTCGTAATGCTGAACAGCTTGCTACCGATGTCCCTGTGCTATCTAACAGCAACAGCCTACCTAGCTGTGGTTCTGTTCTGCCTGCTCCTGGGAGCATGCAGCTGACACAGGTTTGTGAATTACCCCGACTATCGCCACCGAGCCGTGGTTAGCAATACCACTTCTTGTTTTGAGGAAGATGATCTTCATAAATATGACATTACTAGCTTAGATTTTCTGCTGTTAAAAATACTACATCCTGCACTCCCCATCCTGTCGTCATCTGTCTATGAGAGCAGAGAGAGTACTAGCACACACATGCCCCTGCAGCTTCCAAAGCTGTTTTCCTTCCTGTTCTCTCCTATTTCATTAGCAGAAAGTACCCTTAATGAGACAGAAGGTCTCCAGTCAGCTCAGTCTGTGTTTCCTTTCAGTACTTAAAGATGCGGTTGAAGGTTTTTCTAGCAAAGCGAAGTGTTGATTATGCTGATAAATAGTAACAGCAAACATAGAGCCTGGAACACTGAAGTTTCTCTGTTCCAAGAAGCCCAGGCTCACACCACTCAGTCATGTGTAAGCCAGGACTGAGTTGGTGGCTGGAAGCTCATCTTCCTTCGGGAAGCAGTAATTACAGGTACCATGGAACCTGAGCCCAAATGTAATCAGGTGTTAGTGACACATTCATGAGGGTGACTCCCATCTTCTTTTACAGGCTTGTAAGTTTTTGTGTTTTAATCCACAGGTTCATGACACCGAGGACCATAAAAATGCTTTGGATGAGAACAGGTGAGTGTCTGTGTGTATTTATCAGTTTTGCAACAGGACCCCAACACATTAAGGTCTGATTGCTCCCCAGTGCTGATATGATTTGTGCTGTTCTCTGGGAAACCCTTTCATTTCATTTCCTTGTTCCCAGGTCTTTCTCCTCAACAGAAAGTCTCCGGCAGTTGTCAGAACAACTCAATGGCCTCGTTTCTCAGGTATGGCCTCGTTTGATCCATTTGTCCTATTAATTCTCTTGATGTTTGATGTGGAGTTTTGAGCAGTCAGCTCAGGAAAACACTCTTCAGTCCCAGAGGTGTGTTCAGTCATCCTACTAAACAGTATCAAATTTAGGCATTGAGAAGCAAAAAAGCCTGTTTTAGGAATGTAAAGTTTCAGCAGTAGGAAGAAAAGCCAGAGTGGGATGAATGAACAGTATGTATTCATGGAAAGAGGTATTCTTGATTCAGTAGAAAAGAATTTGATTTCAATCTGCATAATTCATATCAGCTTGTCACAGGGGGAGACTGCATGTGTCCTTAGCTAGGAAAATACGTTTTCTGTGCCTGTGTGTGGTAATATGAAGGGAAAGGTGCCATAAGAAGTATTACTGTGATAGTCAGTAGTGATTTGTTGCCTAGAGGAATAAAACTGACTTACTTGACTGGTTTGCTTCTAGTCTACATCGTATGTGAATGGTGAAAGTGCTGTTTCTTCCACAAACATTAAGGAAATGGAAGTAAGTTCTTCTCAGTTTATCTTTTCTCTTCTTCCTTCTTACTTGCTACTGTTGATCTCTTATTGTGACCCTGTACTTAGAGCAGTGCCAAAGAGACCTGACTGCACACTTCACAGACATCATTGTCAAGTGTGGGCCTGTGCTGTAATCGGGTAGTTGTGATCTACAGTAAGAGATGGGTACTGGAGGTGTTTGCAGTTTGGGGACTGGGGATAATCCACCTTCCTTGCAACCACAGTTCTCATTTTTGATTCACTTTTATGTCAAAATGAAGCCTCAGCAGAAATGGATAAAAAATACCAAAGTGTGATAATGATTTATTTTTCTGTCCTTTTTAATGATTGCTTTTTTCCTCCCCTCCTCCTTTTCTGCTCCTTCCTTTTTCTCGTGTGTGCATGTGCCCGACAGACACGTTACCAGGAGCTGGCAGTAGCCCTGGATTCCAGCAATCTAACTAACAAACAGCTCGTTACAAAGATAGAGGAATTGGTAAGAAACAATCCAAGCCACCAGTTTGCCATTGTCTTTGCTGCTCCTCCCTGCTCCCTGGGTGTCTGCAAGGTTATGGGTTCTCTCATGGTGCCACAAGGAAAGCTGCTTACACAGCACTTTGTAAGGAACAAAGTGCTTAGACCAAAGCATCCTGATAAACCAGGGATTTCTGCTCCAAATCCCTGAAGTACAGACTTCTGGTGCTGGCAGCAGTGAGGAAACCCGTTTCTGCAGGTGGTGATGCTGTTCTGAATTTATCAGCAGAGTGGGAGCAATAGGTCTAAGAGAGAGCCTGGGGCTGGTTGCTGATCACATCCTCAGCTTCCCTTGGCACGATGACTGAACTGCTTTGTCCTGTGGCCTGCATGGGTTCCTGCTGCTGCTTTTCAGCCTTGGGCTTTAACACTGCAAGAAATGCAGCTCACTGGACTTGTATGGTCTGAAAAGAGCTTTTCCCCATTTTCTTCCTCCCTAAAGTACACTTTTCCCGAAGCTCAGCATTTCCCAGTGTACCCCATGAGCACTCTTGGTTTATGTTTGGTTTTGTGTTATTTTTGTTCCATTGCTGCTTTTTGGCTTTTAGCTGGGCTGCAGAGCTACCTGGTATAGTGCATTGCCCACCCAAGATTCTCCTTGTTTGCCTGGAATGATGTAGGCCCTTTGCTTTTCCTTGCTTGTGTTGTGCATGGGCATTGCTAGAACCAAACTCTCTAACTCATCACCCTTCCATCTGCAGTCATGTTTCAAAATGCACTGAAGTGGTAGCAGTAAAGAAGCTGTTTGGCCAATGTTCATTCTGTGGGAAGGGAAAAAAGTACCAATTCTGTAGTTACTTATGAGGCATCTGTGAGAAAAGTGCCAGGGGACAACAGCAGCAAACACGGCAGCACAGTTTGTGTGGCAGCCTGTGCAGGCAGCTGCTGCTTTGGGCTCCTTCACTTTGTATCTAAAGATGCACTATGTGTGGTTAACAAACCTAAATACCACCCATGAGGTTGAAGTGGGATAGAACAGAATTAGCCCTTTTCCTTACATCTGGCTTCAGTGCTCTGTTGTACCACCTTTGGCAGAAGCCTGTCAATGTAAGTGTGGCTCTGCGTGACTCAAAGGCCAGTTGAAGTGGGATAAAGGTCTAAAGACTCAGCTAAAGGAAAAAAAGTGGGTTTATTTGTCTGGGTTTTGGTTTCTTTCTAAGCATTTTGGTGGTCATCATAATACAGCAGGATTACTACGATGAATTGCATCCATGTGGGATGCAAGTTTAACTGAAGGTGGTGGATGCTCACATATAAAAGTACAGGGGTTTCAGCACTGCTATCAGAGAAGAACTGTGGTAATGTACTGAGCAATGAAAAACCTATCTGGCACATAAAGTGCCTTAGTGAAGGGAGCCCCAAATCTGTTACTTTTTTAGCCAAGATGATGTTCCCAGTCCTGTACAGAAAGGATAATGGAAATTCTGTTTGCATTCATTGGGCATGTGTCCTACTTCGTTGAAGTGAAAATGTGTTTCAGTAATATGAAAATATTTGCCCTTAATACATCAATTGTCTTCCATAGAAACAGCAGAACGAAGAAGCAGTGAATCAGCTGGAGAAGGTAAAGTGTGTCCTATTTTTGGGTACATACAGAAATAGGTGTCTGTTTCTCTGAGGAGTAAAAAGCACAGTGAACTGTACACAGGTGTGTGTCATCTCATCTTACATTACATTCAGTTTCATCTGTAGCATAAGGTTGAATATTTTGACTTCATGAGCTAGGCCTGGCAGGTACTGTTCTTATTTTGACAAAAGCTCATATTTAAAAGCTCAAGCATTGGAGGAGCACAGTGGAGGCAGGAGATCACAGTTCAGGTCTGTGCCAGGAGCTTGCATTCCAGACACTGCCGCAGTTGTGCCAGCAGTGACTGCGCTATGCTGTCATCGCTGTTCCAGGATGGATAAATAATGAAGTAGTTCAAATGATGGAAGACTGAAGCACGTTTTTAGAAATCCTGGTATCATTTAGATGCTGGAAGTACTACCAGTGAGTCACTGCTTTTTTAGTCTGGCATAAACCAACAAGGGTTAACTGGTTATGTGTTTGTTTCTACAGGAAAAGAAGGAGTTTGAACAGAAGTTTTCTAAGGAGCAAGCAGCACTGAGGGAACAGCTCCAGGTAAGACAGAGCCTCTATTACAGTAAGATTACCTGGCTCCTGCTGTTTTCTGCATTACTGACCACTCATAGTCTTTATTGTGGGAGCCCTGAGTCCATTCCTTCAGGAAAACTGGGAGAGTCAGTCAGCCAGACTGTGCTTAACTGCAGGAGTTCTTTACCTTTACTGAATTATCCTTTCGTGGCAACGATGATGTTGAAAGTGACAAGCAAAGAAGCTTTGTGCTGAGCTGATCTTTCTTTCCTAAAGGTTCATATCCAGACAATTGGAATTCTGGTGTCTGAGAAGTCTGAGTTGCAGACAGCCCTTGGACATACTCAGCAAGCAGCACGGCAGAAATCAGGTAATTGAGTGTGAGTGCTCCAGCTCGTGCTGGTGCTCAAACTGTGGATGTCAAGTCCCAGGCATGATAGCTGCTGGCAGGCAGCTCACAGCACTCCTTAATGAGCAATAGTTGGCACCGTCACTGCTTCTGTCATCATGGCTGCCCCCAAATGGGAGCATGTTGAGCCCATGGCAGTTGAGGTTCTTTTGTGCATCACTAAAGCCTTGTCAGCCCTGTTTGGGCCTGATGACTACCCCAGACTGTTCCTTTCTGACTTCGGTTGCTTTTAAAACTTAGTTCCCTTTTCTCTGCCCGTTCTCCCACACAGCTGTCATGTTAATGTAGGTTTTACCCAAGCCTTTCATTCTGAACTAGATTTGAGTAGTTTATTCTATTAGGAAACCCCCCCAAATAGCATATTATCTATTGTTTTGCAAAGGAAGTTTCGTTATCTTCTTCTAAAAATGAGGAAGGCATTCAGAGAACTTTGCTGCCCAGAGCTGCTATTGTATCACCTGTAGAGCCAGGAGTGGAACCAGGTCCACTGATTTACAAAGCTCTGTGCTGCCTTAAGAGTTTGTTGACAAAGTAGAAGGTGCTGTTCAGCCAGTTCCAGAGAGCTCTTTGTGATCTAGTCTCAACTGACTCTGCTCTGACTTGTTCAGGAGAAGCTGAAAGCCTTGCTGCTCGTTTACATTCATCTCGCCAGAGGGTATCGGAGCTGGAACGTACTTTGTCCTCCATCTCTATGCAGCAGAAACAGTCAGAGAAGGTAAGAGTCACCTCTGTTTATGCTTAACCAGCAGTTCTACCTTTGGCTATTTGCTTGTCATTACACTACTGTCATCCCTACTTAGAGAAGAGGCAGAAATTAACCTTGTATAGCCTTGCACTCTCCATGATCAAGGCAAACTTCATTCAGGTTTCTGTGACCACTAATCATACGGTCCAGGTGCTGTCTTCAGATGTGATACCTTATTTCGTTAGTCTCACCAGCTCCAAACAACAGAAGCCTCACTGAGACCTTGTCCCAGGAGGGTCTCCATCAAACAGACACTTTACTATTGATATTAATGCAGAAGCTTGCAGAAATAACCTCATATTCATTTATCAGCATCACATTTGAAAGGACCGAGCAGACTTATTCCTGACAAACTCAGGAGGTTCTAAGCAAATCTGATATGAGAATTTTGCCAAAGTTATGACCTTTCCCACTTGAGCTGATCTGCTAAAGGTGAAATGAAGTTATCTGCTTGGCTAAGTCTGGACATGAATCAGTAATTCATTTTTATTTCAGCATAACAAAGAGTTGGTGAAGGAGCGAGACAACCTGAAGCTGGAACTGTACAAACAAAGGTAAGTCCATTCCGCTCTTAGCTGCAGAGTAACTACACAGTAGAGCCACAAAACCTAACAAGGGGCATGGAGCACAAGTGGGAACTTCATTTAAAAAGTCGTTAGATAGGATGTTCCTGTGACTCTTAACTGCTGTGAAAAACTGGATTGTAAATTGATGACATGGACACGAGCAGAGCCATAGTACACAGAATGATGACACCTTATTATTGTGTTTGTTTGCTTGTTTCAGCAAAAGTAGTGAGGAAATAAAGCAGCAGAATTCAGAGCTGTCAGAGCAAGTTCACTCACTGATTTCCAAGAACTCGGCTATGAAGTTGGATATGGAGGATTTGCATAAGAAGCTGGAAATGGCTGAACTGATGATTCAACAGGTAACCACAATCCTTCTGGGATGGGAGGGTAGATCACTCTAGTCGTGGCAAGATCTTGCTTCTGACAGTAGGGGCAAGACTGAAGTCTGGTTTTTAAAGGAAGGTACAGAATCTCATCTTAGTAAAAACATCCTCTAGTAAAAGCACACACCCTAGTAAACATCCTTGTAGTAAAAGGCTTTCAGTGAGGCCTCTGAGGAACAGAAGGTCTGTATTCTAAGGAGCTGGAGCAGTAGCTTGAGAGATATTGTGATAGTGGTCTGCTAAAAGAATGATACAGAATATGAGAAGGTGACGGAACAGAAGTGTGAGCACAAGGTGACCTTTCCTGCTTGGATCTATTCAGCATTTTTGGTTACTCAGCTGTTGCAGTTTCATTGAGGAACCAGTTGAGTAGGGGTGGTGTCTGTACCTACCTGGCAGAGGAAGGTGAATTGGACAGTGGCAACTTGAAGGTCAGCTGGGGAAAGTTAAGAGAAGCAGCCAGTTAGGGACTGAATGCATGAGGCCAGCTGGTAGCAGTTCAGAGAGCAGCCTGCTGCTAAGGTGAGCCGGCGAGGGAAGAAAGGGCTTTTATTTTTTCCCCAGAGAGTGGCCCAAGTTACCCTTGAAATAAAGCCAAGTGCTGCTCTTCAGGGTACTGTATGGCAGCTGAGCCAGCCTTGCTGCTGAGTCCACTGGCATGTTCGAGACATTGGCTTTGAATTCATGACATGTTTGACAACTTTTAAGGTCACCAGCTTTTATACTGTCTGATCTGGCTGTGTAATACAGACTCTTTGAAATGCACAAAGGTTCTGAGCCCAGTTGTTGGATTAAAGCCTATTTTCTTAATTAAAGTAAGTAAGTATAAAACTGATAAGAAGGAGCTGCCCAGTTCAGTCTGGTTTAACAGCTAAACCCTAAGCTTTATGATTTTAATTCCCCCTTTATTCTTTCATTGAACTTCACTGGGAGTTGGAGCACTTTAAAGACCTGTAGAAGGTTACAGCATGGAGCATGTGGCAGGTTACTGTCAGGGGAAAGGCAAAGCAGAACCTGAGTATTAGTATTTTGCCCTAACTCTTTGGGTTTTTTTTGGCAGTTCTCAAGTCAGGCAGGGAGTCTGGATGCAAACCACCACTTGCAGATGGCACTGGAGGAGAAGGCAAGCCTGGAAGCCCAGGTTGCTCAGGTAAGAGGTTTGTATTAAATATGGTCCAAATCTTCAATGAAATTTGTGTGGCATAAGATTCACAGGGATTGTCTACTTAAGGGATGAAGCCTGAGCTTTGCATTAATACTGGTTCCTCAGGCTTTATCCCTTAAGCAGGCACTGCCTAATTTATTTGGCTAATGCAGTTTTCTTTGGGTTTTACTTTGTTTTGAACAGCTCTCAGAGTCACTTCAGCAGCTCCAGGCAGAAAGAGATCAGTACGTAGAGAAACTGAAGGAGGAGCAGAGCATTTGGCAGCAGCGGGTACAGCAGCTCTCTGAGCAGGTAACATCAGGGGCAGCATCACAGCTGCTTTTGACAAACCCAGACAGGAGTGAAGCACCATGAACTTTGTTTTAACTTCCTCTCATGTGGCCTTGCAGGTTCACACAATGGCAGAGGAGAAGGAGAAGCATATGGCCCAAATTCGGGAGCTGGAAGCCAATGTGACAGAGCTGTTAAGCAAATCAGGTAGGGCTTCCAAAGTGGGGCTTCACATCGCAGAGTGCCAGCTGGTTAACTGTCCCCTCTGTGCATGAGATACAAGTAGGTCTGAAGCTGTGAAGGCAGCTGAAAGCCTGGTGATCATAAGAAGCCTTCCATCCTAGCAAACAGCAAGTGAACTACTTCAGCTAATGACTGTTCATGTCTTTAGTATCTGCCTGACTGCACCGTCAGCTTCTCTGGCTCAGGAGTTTGGGAAGGCAGGATGCTGGCAGGATGCTCTTGCTAGGGCTGCGAGGGAGTCAGCATGATGCTGTGCTTGCTTTTGGGCTAGTTTTGCTCCTTTGTTCCCCTCGGTGCCCAGCAGTGAGGATTGGGTACTGCAGCAGGTGATACCTTCTGGGTCATAGAGCCCTATAGGCTGGGGTATGGTTTGTGTATGTAATAGTGATGTGTATTACACAGGGATTTAGCCTTTGACAGAGCTGCTTTTGATTCCATTTCCATAGCAGTTAAGCCCATGGATATTGAACCTTCCTCACCAGAAAGGCCCACAGCAGCTGAGCTGAGTCTGCAGGAAGAGATCCAGCGGCTGCAGCAAGAGAAAGAGGAATTGCATGGGCAGTACCAGGCCCAGGTCCGGGACAACGAGCAGCTGAGCCACCTCAACAGGGAGCAGGAGGAGCGACTGCTGGAGCTCGAGAAGGCTGTGCAGCGCTACAACGAGGAGTCTGTGGACAGGCAGCAGATCCTGGAGGACATGCAGAGTGACAAGGCCACAATCAGCAGGGCGCTGAGCCAGAATCGGGACCTGAAGGAGCAGCTGGCTGAGCTGCAGAATGGGTTTGTCAAACTGGTATGTCTCTTCTCTGCATCTCTTCCTGCTGCTCCCCTCACTGGTGCAGTCCTTCTGTAGCACAGATGTAGGAACCTGGCAGAAGCGTTACCCATCTCTTGTCCTCTGAGACTATGGATGCTCCATCTTCTGTGATGCATACTGCCATGCCAGGAGGTTCCCTGTCATTCCTTACTCCCTCAGGTGCTTTGGCAAAGGAACCACTATCTTTGTCCAGAGCAGTTTCCTTCTCCCCCTCATCCCCTTGCAGTCAGGCTGTTTCCTCCTGTGCTTTCACCATTGAAGATTCCCATTTTCTGTTCCCTGCATTTGCCCATGAGGAAGTTCTCAGCAATCTTCCCTCCTGCTGCTGTCACTCTTACTCCCTTTGGGGCCCTGGCAAGCTGACACATGGTCTAGCTGCTTTTTCTTTAGTTCCTTCTGAACTCTTCTTGGTTTTGATTGTCTGTTGCTCTCTTTGGGATATTCATACAACCCATCTGTTTGGAGCTGACAGGCTGTGTGATGTGCCAGGCCTCCTCTTGGCACCATCCCAGCACCCATTCCCCTGGCTCTTTCCTCGCTCTCTTCCCATCTTCTGAACCTTTCTGTAAGTTACTGACTGTCCTGAACAGTCCATTTATAGCCCTTAGTTACACCCAGGGTAATTCAGGGGGTGGCACCCTGTTGTATTGGGAATGAACGTGGTTTACTGAGCATGTGTGTTTATGGTGGTTGGGGCGGTTTCTTTATACAGTGGTGCTTGTCTTGCAGACAAATGAAAACATGGAGATTACCAGTGCCCTACAGTCAGAGCAACATGTAAAGAAAGAGCTAGCCAAGAAGCTTGGGCAGCTGCAGGAGAACCTGGGAGACCTCAAAGAGACGGTAAGGGACAGGAGAGGATGGCAGGGCAGGTACTGCAGTGGTTTATGCAGACTGCTGGCAGCTTCCCAGACTTTGATGGAAGGGTGGAAATTGGGATTGTAAGGATCAAGCTGGGAGCCTCCCCCTATCGTCTGCTGTCCGATGTGGGGGACCAGCGTGTGGGGCAGATGGTGGCTGCCTGCCTGGTTGGTGGCTTTGGGGTGCTGTTGACAGTTTGCACATGTCGCACGGATCAGCTTCTCTGGCAGAAATGGTTTGATGTGATGGTTCGGTGGTGTTTTGTTAGCTGGAGCTGAAAACACAGGAGGCTCAGGGTCTGCAGGAGCAGCGGGACCTCTACTACAGCCACTTGCAGCAGTACACTGTGGCCTACCAGCAGCTGTCTGCTGAGAAGGAGGAGCTGCACAAACAGTACTTGCTCCAGACACAGCTTATGGATCGGCTACAGCATGAGGAGGTTCAGGGGAAGGTGACAGTGGAAATGCACCTGAAGGAGCTGCAGCAGACCAAGGTAACAGTGAAAAGGGGAAGTGGAAAGATGGGAGGAAACATGCTTAATTACATTAAGTATTCATTAAGGGGAAGGCTGGATCTTTTGCAGTCCCTTCCAACCTGGGCTGTTCTGTGGTTACATCCTGTACAATACAGGTGGACTGATAAATGTCTGGAGCAGAAGCACTGCCTTTGTGTGTGTGTGTGTGTGGTGCTGCCGCCTGAAGATGCAGTGACTGTTCACAGTCTGGCTTGTGCAAGCTTCAGTGACCTGCTTCTCTCTTGCAGGAAAATCTGGAAGCTGTAGCTAAGGAAAACAAGGAGCTGCAGGCCCAGATCAGTCAGTTAGCAGCAGACCTGGATGGCAGGATTTTGCACCGGTTAGAGGGTGAGTAGCTGCAGCTGGTCTTCAGGAAGGAGATAGAGCTGAGCTCTCTGGGTTATTACCTCCTTGTTCACCTTCCTCCTTCACAGGAGATGGAGTTGAAAGTGAAGCAATGACTGAAGAAATCCCCAAATCTTCATTTGTGATCCCAGAGAAGTTTGAAAGCCATGAAGAAATGGTGAGTCCTAATGGGCAGAAAAGCCTTTGGGTTTAGTTCTACACAAACATCTAGAAAAAGAGGCAGGAGAGACGTTCCATTGGGTGCATGGAGCAGGCTGTTTATCAGCTGTGATCCCTTCCAGCTGAGGCACAGTAATGAGGAAAGTTTAACAGCTCCTTCGGCATAGTAGCAACAACCCCAAGATTTCGGCAGCATCCTTGCAAGAGAGGGTGGAAGTCTGGCAGTGGCTTTAATTCTGAGACAACTCAGCTGGCTCAGAGTGCTCTGTAATGATGATGATGATGTTCTCTTTAGTCTGGAAGGCATTTGGAAATGGTACTGAACATAAAATAGAGTCATATTTGGAAAAGACTGATCAAACACGTGTCCTCATGGCAGCTGGTGTTTAACCTGCATATTGGTACTACATGGAAATGACAAAGACTGCAGTAGTTGTTGCTGGTTTAGCTCCAGGGCAGTCACTTAGTACTTTGGTTTCATACCCATAAATAAAATGGGGTCAACTGTTACTGTGCTTGTCCTGAGCTGCACTGCTGATCGTGCTTCACACGGGAGTAGCTCTGCCATGCATGATCTGGGATTCTTTGTAGGTCGATTTCTTGACATCGACCATGTCCCAAGTGGAGAAGGAGCGAGAAGATCTGAGGCAGCAGCTGGCTGCTCAGAGGCAGCAGTGCAGAGGCCTCCTGCAGCAAATAGCAGCTCTCAGGCAGGAGCAGCAACATCACGTCCCGCTGGGTGGAGGTAAAAACTTGGGGACAGTGTGAACAGCGAGGCGTGCCTTGGCCAGCTGCCTCACTGCTACAGGCTTTGTGAGTGCCTCGTGTCCAAGGAGTACCTGTAAATTCCACGTGTCCCTTCTAGGTTCTGCTATGGATACTGTTCCAGTGGAGGTTCACGAGGCTTTGAAAACTGCCATGGAGAAACTACAGGTACGCAAAGGGTCTCCTCTTTCAGCCCTGCTGTGCTGCTCAGTGAGGCTTTGATCCAGTGTCAGACTTTCTTACAGCACACACAGACAAGTTTCAGGGGAATAAGTAGCAGATATGCCATAATAATAAGCTGCTTCCTGAAATGCTGCTCACTGCTGGTCTCATGCAGGTAAGCTTCAGTAGTAACTCCTCTCCCTGCCTCATCCTCAGCCTGTAAGGGCCCGACACTAACCTGTGACCTTCTTCTAAAGCAATCACTGAAAACCAAACTGAGTATCTTCACCCTTCTGAGCTGAAGCAGCTGCTCTGCAGTCTTGGCACTGAGCATGACCAGAGCTGTGCTGTCCCAGCAATGAGAAGGTTAAAAGGCTTTTTGTTCCAGCAGCCCTTCTGCTTCCTGAAATGCAGAGGTGCTGTTTTATACCTTCTCTAGCTCTACCCTCTCTACAACTTGTCTCTGATTCAATGCTAAAAAGGAGCAAAAGCAGTGGGCTTTGTTCCCTAGGCTCGACCAGTGTGAAGGGAGGGAGTTATCTCTAACACAGATTCTCTGTATGTGAGCAGTTGAGGTGATTGATACCGATTTGTGTGTTCAGTTCCGCTTCACAGACCTGATGCACGAGAAGGCTGATATGAAGGAGCGGCTGGAGGAGTTGGAGCATCGCTGCATCCAGCTCTCTGGCGAAACAGACACCATTGGTATGTTTAGGCAACACCAGCACAAGCTAAAGCTTCCTCAGTGTGTTAGGTATATGGGGAGGAGGAAGTCCCCAGCAGCCTTTGGAGCTGGAGCCCTCCACCTACCAACCAGTTCATGTCTCTACTGCTGCCTGAGTAGTCTGGATCCCCATATCACACAATTCTATGCTTACTGTAAGGCTTGTATCCAAATCTTGCTAACACTCCTTATGCTTCCCTTGTATTCCAGGGGAGTACATCGCATTGTACCAGAGTCAAAGGGCTATCCTCAAACAGCGACACCAGGAGAAGGAGGAGTATATCAGCAGATTGGCTCAGGATAAGGAAGATATGAAGGCAAGGAATCTTCTTCTATAGCACTGCTCTAAGCAGGGCAGGCCTAGGGAGTGCTTGCACACTCCAAACCTTTGTGTGTTCTTCTTGAGCTGGCTTTAACTTGGAAGCTGCTTATTCTGTGACAGAGGCAAGACTGCAAACTGTAGTCTTGTTTGTGTGCATGTTTCATAGGCTCTCCTTTACTTTGGTGCAGGTGAAATTACTGGAACTACAGGATTTAGTGATGCGTGTGGTCAGGGAAAGAAATGAATGGTACAGCAAGTATGTAGCAGCTGCTCAAAACCCAGAGCTGTTGGCAAGCCAGAGTGAAGGTGTATCGCCAGTGGAGAGGCGCATTGAACTGAACGCTACTGATGGAGAAGGTAAGGTGCAGCCAGGACAAGCTGGGTAAAGTGGAACAACCCGAGGTCCCAGTGTTGGGCCCAGATGGGAAGAGCTTCCTGCCTTGTCTGTGTTCCCTACAGGGCTACGAGACGTGAATTTATCAGATGAAATGGAACAAGAAGCTGCAGTTCTGCATCAATCCGGTTTCTCCCCCATTGACAGTAAAGCTGCTCAGCCAAGCCAGGAGGACTCCACCGCAAAGCAAATCATGCAGCTTCTCAGAGAAATCCAGAACCCTCAGGAGAGGCTGAACTCCCTGCTGGAGAACCCCTGCATTCCCTTCTTCTACCGTGCGGATGAGAACGATGAGGTCAAAATCATGGTAGTTTAAGAGGTGCTAAACCTTATTCACAGCAGTTTTCTGTGAGCCTGAAAGGACTTCAGTGACTTGTACGTGCCCATACCTCTGCTCAGTGCCCTTGGTCAGAACAGATGCTTAAAGACATCAGGAAAGAGGGATTGCATCAGCCAGAACTTGAGCATCAGCCCTCATCTTCCCTTTCTTCTGTTACTTGGTGTGCTTGGAGCTCAGACTAACCTTGGGAGGCAGCTGGTGCTGGCACTTGGCCGGGGAAAGGGGCTTCCATGACTTGGGGCAAATGACTGAATCCCCTGTGCTGGACTCTGGTGCCAGCAGCCAGCTTCCCAGCAGCGGTTCTGATCCATCACTCATGACTGTCATCAGCCTAGTCCCTTCCAGGGCTCCCAAAGTAACTAACTTATTCTGGTAATGAACTCTTTGGACGTTAAACAGGTTATTTCTGTTTCATACTATATATCTTAAACTTCCCTCTTTCTTCTGCAGCCTGCCTCTTGCAACTGTATTTGAAACCAGCCTTGAACAGCCAACAGGTAGAGGCTCCTGGCTGTTTCCAGTGCTAGGGTGAGGACCCAGGGTTGCCTTTTGAGTCTTTTTGGTTACTTGACAAAGCTTTATGTGATTCTTGGGAGTGGGGTGGAAATGTAACTGCACTTTGAAGGATGTGTTTCACTTGTATGTGTCTGAAGGTTTTATTTATTTTAAAAAGGGGAGAAATAAGTAAAAGGAAGCCACTTAATAAACATGCTTTGTTTTGAATTTCTGGACTCCAGGAGTTTTACTTCTTCATGCCTTAACTTTCCTCTTCTCCCAAGTTGGGTAAGGGTTGCATTAAGTGGGTGGAATCCTTCTGTGGCCCTTGTTTAAGTACCTGGGACATACATCAGCAACAGCAGGATCCCTGGGCAGTGCCCTGAAGCTACAGCCTTAAGTCTAAAGAGAAGGCAAACCATGGAGGGAGGAGAAGGAAGCCCTGAAGCAGCAGCAAAGCCAATGCTCTATGTGTACAAGTGAGTATCTTGCAACTGCATCTACCTCCCAGGCAGGAACTGCCTGTTCCTTAGTCAGGTTAGTTCCAGCAATGGAGGTTCAAGGAATATTGCAGGGGAGGTTTAAGGGACCCACCAGCACTGCATGGGTCTGGACAAGCACACACCTTGTCCCTGTTAACCTCTCCCTGAGACAGAAGCACAGGAACATGGTTTTTGGAGTTGTCCAGCATGGTACAGACAGTTTGTCTTTCCCAATGCTTTATCCTGCTGTTTCCATACACAACTGAAAAAGCAGTCACAGAATAACGTGCCCTTCCCTGCAAACCCACCAGGGGAAGATGCACCCTGGTTTTTGAACTCCTTTCATGTGAAGGGCAGTAGTGGTGTCTGTTACTTGGACAACAGAAGTGATGTGGGCTCCATGCTCCTGGCTGTGGGTCTCTGTCCATAGTATATCTATGTAAAACACTGTATATTCCTTGGAGAGAGACTTCTGCAGTGTTAGGGCCTGCCCAGGTTATTCATAAATCTGTACCACAACTAACGGGGGTACAGAGCATTGACGCCCTTTTTCACTGAGCTTTCATGAGTGTTGTTCTGTAGCCAAAATGCTGACAAGCCCAAGCTGTTTCTCTTGGCCAGCATTTCGGATTCAGTTTTCACTGTGTTCCCTTCAGGAGTGTTTTCTCTGACCACACCTTGGACTTGAAGTGAGCTAAGAGCAGAATTACTGTTCAGCTGACACCCACTAGCTTTAAATTGGAGCAGGTGAACTGCTTCTGCACCTCTGAGCTGAGGAAAGGGAGAAAAATGCTTCTTAAAGGCCATAAAGCACTGAACAACAGGGAACAGGACACTGCCGAATCAATGGACACGAGCTGCTCTTGTGTGGGAAGGGCAGCTGGAATTCACATCAGAACAATACTTAACCTTTGACAGCCAGTAAAGGTTTCTGGTTTTGCACAATAAGGCTCTAATACTTAACTGGAATAAATATAGTTTTGGTTTCAGAAACAGAATATTCTTTAGGAACAACTCTAAATGTAACACCAGGGATAGATGGAGCAGTTCCAGTGAGGAAAGAAAGGGGACAGGGTAGGGCAAGCACTGGTTAGTGTGCCTCAGTTGCAGAGAAGCTGAAGTTGCAACCCATAAAAACAGGCAAGAAAGAGACAGCTTAAACACACAGAGGAAGGAATCGTTAGAATTCCTTCAACCCCACCAGGACCTACTGTGAATAAAACCTTCCAGAGGAGTTTCAGCTTATTACAAGTACCACAGCAGCTGCAGCCAGGAGCACTCAGGGCCAAAACAGGCTTCAGTATTACACTGATTTAAGTCAGCAGCCCCAAAGCTCCTGGTCTCTTCCTTCAGATGTAGTGGTGGAGCCCCAGGACACAGGGCCTTAAGGAACCCACTGTAACTGTTGGGATGACAGTGCCAAGTTCAGGAATTATGGACAAACATGACTGCTACTGTGAGAAGCAGCAAACATGATCCAAACCCCAGAGCACTCACGTTTTTGGCATGGAGACAGCAGGAACGGGTTTACCCAGTCTGTACTGGGGAGAAATCCTACTTCAGCCTAAAAGCAACTTCCCATTAGGAGTTGGCTACATGTTAGACTAGAAACTACAACTCAACAGCCTTGGCAAGACCACCCTTGTAAGAACCGAGCAATCGTGTGCAAGACTCCCACCTTCTGTGTGTCCAGTCACTGAAGCACCTCCATGCTTTTTCCTTTACAACTTAACTTCCATGTCTGACAAGGTGTTTCACTACTGCAGCTCCTCAGTGGTTGATGCAGATCTGCTCCACCTTCCCTACCAGTGATAGCACCTGCTTGCATGTACAGCTTTTTAAGGTCTATGGGATGAAAAGATTAGGTAATAATTAAAACACAGTTTGAAAATCACCCAGAGAAAGAGCAAGAGAGATGGTTTTATTCTAGTCAGAGACCTTCATTATACAGAAATGATAGTTTATTTCATCCAATAAACAAGAGTGACAGGTAGATCACAAACTGCATCACAGCTACTACCAGCACTGAGACAGTTCACCCACAAGTCTGGGGTAATACAATAACCCAACTGCACACAGCAGAGAATTTAACAATCGGCTCAAAAACAACATTGGGATTTGGTTAGCTTTTTGCATGTAAGTGTGTACATATATATATATGTATATAGATATTCTTTCCCTACTTAAGTATTTCCTAAAATCCACATGGAAGCACAAATGGCTTTAAACACCTGGACATAGATAGATTTTTCATCTTATATATATATTTATAGATATTTATAACAGTAAAGATATGGTTCTCATTACTACAATATACTTGTTTAACTCCTTTAAGCAGCTGGGAAGAAAGAAAATGAAGAACCCAGTTTTACTACAATCACAGCTGATGTGTGTGTGTCACAAAATACAAACAGAACAAGCCATGGGTGAGATTCGAGTCAGACCATTCCAGGACAGAACAGCTAAGAGGCAGGCAAAGAGTCTCAGAGGGAGCAGGCCTACATGTCAAATGGTGGTTTTGGGCTCTCCGGGCGGGAGGGACTGGCCTTACCCGGCCGGCTGGAGGGTAAAGACAAGGAAAACAAAGGAAAAAGGGAAGGAAAAAGGGGGAGAAGTAGTAAAACAATAGTTAAAATACAGAAAGGAACTGGCATCAGAACAACAGAGGATCCACAACAGAGCAATAGCACTGAAATGGAGATAAGTTAAATCTGAATCAGGCCTTGGTGAAAGCCTGCAACACAAATGGCTCATTCAGCTCTGGTAGAGACATGACATCTGAGATGGACAGGGTTGACATATCTTTAATTCTCAAGTATTTTTTAATACATGTAGCATGAAAAGTAGAAACCAAACCTTAAGAAGATGAGTTGCGATCAACAACGGTTACAAGTTTCCCCAAACACGTACCATCCACATGCAAGAAGAAAAGGCTACGGAAGAAGTCACCACAGTACCCAAACCACACGGGAAGATGTGCTTATCCAAAGCAGAAAGATTTTGAACAAAACATTACACAGCAAAACTCCCTGAAAACATTTGGCTGTCCATTTTGCAAGGGGGGAGCAGCGGATCTATTCCCCTCTCCCTGCTGGCTTCAGGAAAGTCAGCCAAAAGCGATGATGCAAAAGCACTGCATCACCAGCAGGATTGCCCCAGCTATAAGGGAGCCGAGTGTGAGCAGGTCCATGTGCCCCCTGCACGCTGAGGTGTGTGCGCTATCTCAGTCTTCACTCTAGCAGGACTACGCCGATCCACTGAGGTCCCCCCCTTTCCTTGTTTTCCCTGCCTCACTTGGATAGAAGGTTGATTGCACTGTTCCCAACATGAATTTTTGCACCTTAGAAGTCAAACTAATACACAGGACATTGAATCTGCTCCTAACGGTGTCACGTGTTTTGATAGTATTGTTCTTCTAAGTCACACTTTAGTCTTAACTACAAGAAAAGAGCTATAGATCAGTCCGGGTGCTACAGCTAACGGATGCAGGCAGGACACTTATCCAGGCTAGACCAGGCAGATGGACGGACAGCCACCACTTGGGCTTAAGGATGTCCCTGCAGCTGATCTCTCCAAGGAGCCAGTGTACTTCAGGGATCCATGCCACTGAATGAAGGCTACTCTATGCTCACAAAGCAATACAGGACGCACGAGTGAAGACGAAGAGCTCAATCACTAGGCTAGTGTTTTACGACACACCAGGAAGGGTGGGTGGGAGGCAGAGATGTGGGATGGATGAGAGGAGTGACTGTGGCTGTGGAAGGGAGGGTGGGATGGGGCAGCCGCCAGCACGGCATTCGTCGCCAGCTGTCTACAGCCTCGAGTTATAAATCTAAGAGGGACGGTTCAGCCGGTCGGATTATGGTAGGTCGAGTAGGTGAGGCAGGGCCCCTTCTGTTGTGAAAAAGCAGAAAACAAAAACAAGAGAACACACACCGTGGTTAGCACAGCAGTCGCAGTCACAATCACTCATGCTTCTCCACCTCGCCTGAGCCAGCAAGAGAATAAAACTCAAGGCGCAAAGTACCAGATGCAGCTCCACAAAGGAGACTTGCAGGTTTGTATCAGGCCTCACACTGGCCTTTCTGCACAGCATGGATTAGCAGTAAAGCAATCTGCTGGAAAGCCATTTCTGCTCTCCCTCTGGAATTTGGAAGTGCAGAGGTTTATTATCAGTGAGCGCAGTGGCTCTGGAATGAGCGTTGAGAAGCATGGACAACAGTGAGCTCCTGTATCAAGCACATGACAGTCACATAGCATGGATGGGGCCCTCTGAGACACGCTGCTGTCAGAGGTTCTTGGCTGGTTTGGTGGAGCACCTTCTACCCCTGCCCTTGAGGCTACTGGAAGCCTGAGATTCCCTATTGCAATACATGACACTGATGTTCGGGGCAAGCTTGATGCTTCCACTTCTCTAGTTCTGGTGCTCAGCAATTGCAGCTTCTACTTAAGTAAAAGGAAATTCAACCATTGCTACTCCATTCTGTTTCAGCTCTTTTGCTAGTCCTTTAGCTCATCAAGTGGGAAGCAATGTGAGTGTTTTCCCTCTGCAGAGATAAAGTATTCTAGGATCTCCTTCCTGTAAGGGACTGGGGAAAACACAAGACAACACCCCTGCTGTTCTAAGTCATTCCTCAGAAGATCACTTCAGACAGACTACAGTTTACAGATTAAAAGTGTTCTGTATGTCACCGAGTCCAATCTATGTTCCTCCTTTAAAGCATACTCCCTGCAGTGTCTGCAACCTAAACAGCGTCATGATAGTGTATCATTATGATAATTAAATTGCTCAGCATCAAGCCAGAGTAGTTTTACAATCCAAACAGTCTGAAATGCAAAGAGCAAATATAACCGGATGCAGCCCAAATAGAGAAGCATTTGCACTGATCACACAGAATCAGCGTCCCAGAATTAATGCCAAAACAATTCCACACTGACAAGCTTTAATTTAGATTACAGAGAATCAACTGCCTGCTGGAAATCGTGGTCCTTCCCTAACAAAGGGCCTGAGGGAAAGGAGGCGAGGAGGGGAAGAGAGGCAGAGAAGGATATTTGCACCAATACAGTCCTCTGGGGTACAAAAGTCTTGTTGTGTACTGACTGCAAGCCTATAGTCATGCTGGTACCAGTGGAGCTCTGCTCCTATAAACCGGGGCAAGCTCCCTCATCGTAGCAAATGAACCAGAGCAATTCTACAGTCCTGTTTATTAGATCTCAAAAGAACTTACTGCTCCATATCTATTAAGCCCCAAATCTCAAAACAATTACAACCACTTGTTCCCTGCCTTGGAAAATGATACATAAGAAAAAGCTTCAGACAGCAAAACATTCTGCAAATGTTATTTCCTTGGCTGGTAATGTCAACAGGGACTACAAGACCCCGCTGTCAGCATGTCAGTTAAGTTACTGCTCCTGTACAGCAATTAAGGATGGGATTGAGCTAACCCAGAAATCACAACCACCTCAGAAGGATGCTGAAATGATACTGTCTCCCAGAAGCAAAACTTACGAGGAGATGTTACAGCTGGGGAACCTGTGACACTTGTTTTCATGACATGTGGCATCCCTGCATTCTCTCTAGAGGGTGCTCCTGGTGTAACTGCAGCCACACCAACCAACTGATGGCTACTACCCTCACTGGAACAGCAATAGTACTTGAATTAAACCCCAACAAAACTCTAGCTCATCCTTTAATGAGATGGTGCTGCACTGTCCCATGTGTCAAAAGGCATTTTTGGACAAGTCTGAAGGACTATTTGCATTTCAGGAGTTTGGACAGGTTGTTCTAACAGTCTCTGTGGATTTACATGAAAAGGATGCTTAAAAAAAAATCACTGGACTATGTGATGTGCTCTGGCAAGAGAGGCCACTTGACCCTACCAGAATAAACAGGGCTGAAAGGAACACAAATAATTCCCAGGTAGATGGGCTGCTTTTTCATAACGTGCTGTGATTGAGTTTTGCAGACACTCAGAGGCTTTCAGGGGGAAGGGCTGCCACTTTTTAAAGTTACAGATTTTGTCTGTGCTCAGCTTTTCTGGAGACACGTGCAGAATCTGCCTGCTAAGGCTGCCAAAGGCTGAAATGGGCAGAGAAGTCCATTTACACCCGAAATGCTTCAGGCTGTCTCACTGCATCATTAGCAAAGGCCTTTTATGTCACTGAAAAGTCCCTTTCCTCAGTCAGGACACCAAGGAACAAAGCTTTGCTCATGGGGAAGCCTGCAGCAGTCTCTAGTCCTGGGAAGTAAGACCTGAATCCTGGCAGGAGCCTGAGGAGACCAGTTATAGTGACTGTCACATCCTTTGAAGTCAGTCTTTCAAGCTATACCCAGACCCTATGTTCATCATACCTAGGAAGCAATGGGCTAATTGGGAGTTCTGCTGATAAGGACCTAATGGAGATGGTAAAACATTACATTTATTCCCTTGGACTTCAAAAGGATTTGGGTGGTATTTTGGGGGTGGTTCGGCTCTTTTGGTGCTGTTTTGGTTTTTAACTTTCATTTCCTTGGTGCTCTTGATGCCAGATTTAGAACAGAACGCCCCATAACAGCGAGTCCCAGAATGAGGTGCAGACAACAGCAAGCCTCTTCACCGAGGTTCTTCACCAAGATGCATGTTTCTAGGGCTGCCAGGGATGTCTGCAGTAGGCAGAGTATTGGAGGAAACTGCTGATTGCTCCCAGCACCTCTGCAGTGCGTCATCAGTGAGGAGGGCTGGCGGATGACGTCCTCAGAGATGTCAATCGCTGAGCAATCACTGCATTGGTTTGATGGGATGTGGCACCTCTGAGCTCTAACTGCAGTCACATGCAGCAGTGACAGACACCAACTTGCTGCAAGATGGGGGCTAGCTGTGAACTCTGGAACAAGGGCTTGATCTTTTGCTATTCCCGTTAAGATAGTACTTCAACACACACTGCTACCCTCAGTTCTCTCTGCCAGAGCCAGCAGCAAGGGAATCTACAGGATATGCTGCTGTGCCCCTCTCAGACCTTTCACTTCAAGAAAGGAAGTCCACAGAGAAAAGGAGAAGGGGCCCACCCCCCCCACTTGCCCTGTTCTGGCCTCTCTGTCCCTTTATCAATAAGGGCTAGAGTTTCCCAGGGAAAAGATTCTGGAGAATTTGCACAACGCCACTCTTCAGCATTAACAGGACAAGGAAGAGTTTTTGGGCCAGTGCAGTATGCATGAGCCTGCCCCAGTACCCTGCTACATCACTGAACAAGTACAATGCTGCAAGATGCAGGGAGAGACAGGAAAAGGAAACAGGCAGGACAGGCAGTGTTTGGGGGACACGGATCACTAAAGCCTAACTCTCACAGGGGCAGAAGGCAGAGGAGAGAAGGCAGTCTGAATGGAAGCAGAAGAGTAACCTGGAAGGTAAAAGGGTCAAGTGGAGAACAAGCAAAAGGGAGTTTGCTTCTAATTGTGACAGGACACAAGGATTACAGGGAACATTCAATGTCAGAGTTACCTTACACTCAAGACATGGAAGTCCTGATATTAATGACTGTAACTCCTGCCTTCCATGAGCACTGGGAACACAGTGATGATGGGAGGACTCCTCCAACCAGACATTCGAATATAAGAAGAGGAGTCTGAACTATGCCCCGAGTCTCAATCTTGATTCTAACAGAGCTGACAAACCAAATCAAATCAGAGTTCCCTCAGCTGATCTCCCAGTCAGGGCACATATAAGGCAAATGAGACACACACAGTTTAGACCTTGTGCCAGAGCTCATTCCCCCATCCCACCTCCTCTATCTAAAGGCAGAGAAAGGGTCCTCTAGTGACCTTGAATCAGGTACTGAGGCTTTCCCAGCTACTGCAGCTCAAGCAGCTGCTCTGACTCTCATCAGCCAGTTTTTCTGTTCAAGACTCCTCCCTTTATGAGATCCTGGCAGAGGAGGTTCATTGGACAAGGGACTCTGTTACTAACACAAGAACTAGGCAGCAGAGCTGCAGAGCAGAGTGATGGAGGATGGGACACAATGACTCATGCATTGCAGGGAGAGTGCAAAACGTACCGTGGCTGCCAGTCCTCAGGGGTCACTGATAGTGATTCTGAAAGACAACATGAAATCAACATGGCAGTTCAGACAGTTCAAGGCAGAGGCCACACAGACTGTCAGGAACGTGGAACAGAGACACATGCATGCACAGACACACATTGCACGTCTCCCTGCAGAAGACAGCATCAGTGTGTGCTGCTGGTCAGGACTTCACACACACAACCACAGCCTCATCTTTGCACACATCCAGAACCCTGCTGTGCACAGGGGTGCATGAAAGCTGTCTGCACATCCACTGGCCATTGCTCACTCACCCACCAAGTCCACTCACACATCCAGGCTGATGCTCACACCTGCTGAACCAACAGTATCTCTCGGTCTCAGCACAGGTAGCTTAACTTGTCTCTGATCGTATTAGATGCTAGAGTTGAAACAAACAGCTCAGGAAAGAGAGACATGCAGTCCTGAGTGCTACCCAAAAAGGGAAGAAGCAGGTGAAGGCTTCTGTTTCGGACATTACAAATAATGAGATCAGCCACTCCGACCTCCTAAATAATTCAAGTCAAAGCTGTGTGATGTTATGCTTACAGTGATGCTGATCACTTGCATCTCTTTCCTTAGATGTACCAAAGAATGGAGAACCCATTAATGCCTTCAACAGTTTTTTCCAATGGTTCAAGCCTTTTCACTTTAACATTCTTCCTTCTCCTTTGAGTTTGCCAAAGCTCTTTCACCTTTTCTATTGAACTAGTTTCTATGGAACTATTTTAACCTGAAGAGCCTAAATGGAGGAGTATTTTCAGAGTTTTCTCTCCCAGAGCAAATCCTCCTGCATAGCTCCAATAGGCATGTAGTCCTCATACAGCCTTTAATCGCACCCAAACAGGACCTTATATTGCTTCAACTCTGTATGTATTTGGCAATATGGACTTCCATAGCAGACTGAATAAATGCCAAGTACACAGGCATGATGGCAATGTTTTATATGTCCTTAATTATATGCAAGAAAACCTTCCTGTGCAAGAAAATGGGCCATGTGGTGTTTATATGTGAAAGCATGTGTCTACAGTTATGTCTGAGAAAAGTACAGTGACACTCATCTAAGTTCATCATTCATAAAATCAGATGCTCAAACAAACTGGAGACACAAAACCTGCCACATTTCTACACGGGTGTGTGCATACACACAAAGCACATCCAGCCACCACCACACACTTGCAGTTCACTACACGACACCAACTCCTGCAGCAAAGCCCACTCACTCCATCTACAAGAGCTTTGTTCCCCTCACACAACAGCATAGCCTGGTTAGCAAGGGAAAAGGTGAGTATTAAAAAAAGCAACAATGGAGATGGCATTCGTTCACCCATGTCAGAAGGACCCGAGTCCAAGTGCTAGCAGGGAACATTCTTATTCTATATACAGGAGAGGAAGAGAAAGAGTCCCTTGTCATTGGAAATTCTCCATTCATCAGTGAACTCAAATGACAAGCTGGTATCAGGATCCGGAGGAGTCTATGAACAACTGGAAGAATCAGAGACGGGGATCAGGGAATGAGCATCACTTCACAGCTTCTGGAATTACATTCTCAACTCCAGATCAGGGCAGACAGTAACATGCAATCCAACCTACCATCTCTCCCCTAAAGCAAGGGATTGCTTGGTTCAGTATGAAACACTTTCTTTCTCTGCTTCAGTACTGTTCCCTATCTTCAATTAAACCCTCATGCAAATGGCAGAAGAGACATTAAGACAGAATACGACAGATCTCTTCAAAAAGAGAGGCCAATTCATTTCAGCCCATTTGGGGAATCCTATTGTGACAATCAGGTATATAGAATATTTTTCATGAGTGAAGAAATGAAACTGAGTGAAAGGAGAAAGATGGAGACAGAAAGAAGCATAAGTACACTAAAAATAAAACCACAAAGTAACACTAGATGGAAAAGCAGGGTCACAAGAAGCAAGAGCCAAAATACACAGTAGAAGCATGCTGACATCCATAGGTGCCACCAGCAGGACTGGACTCCCTGGGGCAACACTGAGGCATGTGTGGACAAGTGACTGTGGGAGCTGCATCAAGGTGCATAGGGAGGACTGGGGGCAGAGGCACCAAGAAAGTAAAACCATTTGCACACACCAAAGTCAGAACCTGGGGTTATAATTGATAACAAGGCCTATAATCAATATGGACTCATCCACCTCTGGGCTGGATACAGCCTGGCAGAGAATATGTCCCCTCTAAACAGGCAGCACCACGTGTCAGCTGGGGCACTATAACAGGAGGAAGTCTGAACTGCCTCTGCCATATACTATCACCACCCATTGACAGGCTGGCTGTTTCCACCAGAAATGGCAAAGCTTCAGACATGTGCCACCAGCAACCACCAGAGAGGAGGTGTTTTCCACGAGGGAAGTGTTCCCTCTGGCATGCCATTGAGGTGTTTCTGATTATATTCATTCTTTACTCAGCAATTACCTTCTCTTCCTCACAGGGAGGCCAAGTACCCAACACAAAAAGCATTCCCTGTTCCAAACTATTTCCTAAGTCCTGTTCAGGAACATGTGCTTAGGAAACGTACACAACATAATTACTATATTGGAGTGTGTTTGAAGTGACTGAACAGGAAAGGAACTGAGTTTCCCAGCAGGAAAGAAAAGCTGTGTGATTTTAATGCTCTAGACTGGAAAATGTTCAAGTCGATTACAAAAGCAATAAAAAAGGCTAAAAAAAAAAAATTAAATCCATTTATCTGCCAGTGATACTGCAACATTCTCCTAGCCAAAAAACAACCGAACAACTTAAAGGTCTCCAACTCACCTTGAAGAACTCTGGGCCAGGAGAAAAGGGGCAACTTCACACTTTGGGAGCCCTACACAGAGGGAAACTGTCACTCCAGTCCTGCGATTTTTCTTGTGAACATCTACTTGTGAGCAGAGGCATTGCTATGATTGCTTTAATAAAGCCCTTGGGTGCAAGGTCCTCTTCCCCCATTATCTGCACAGAGATGTGAACAGAGAAGAAGCTGCCCTGTTCCTGAGAGCTGCTTTGGCAATGCCTCATCTGTATAATGAGATCTCAGTGGACAACGATGCTCCTGCCTATGGACCCAGTTCAAATATCCAAAGACTGTACCCACACCATGCACTCCATTCTCCTTCTATGGCCCAGGCAGGCTAAATGCTGTCAAGTCTGTTACCCCAAAACCAGACATATCCCACCTGCGTGGAGCAGCGTCTCAGGACTTACCTGGGAACACCAGGAGGAGCACGATTAGGCCGAGAAGGAACCTGAGGTGGGGGCCCAAAGGGATCAGGAGAGGCACCTGGCCTGGAGGGCACAGGGGGTGCACCACCCAGTGTGGACCCACCAGCAGGAGGTGGTCCAGGAGCTGGGCCTCGAGACCCAGGTCTGGCGGGTGGCACTGCAGGAGCTCTCCTCTGTGGTGTGGGGCTGGACGTAGGGGACCTGGCAAACAAACAGAAGAAATTCAACTGCAACAACAGGCCTGAGATCCCTCTCTCACCACCAGGTCCTCAATATGCCACCTTCAGTGTTCCTTCTTTAGTTTCACACCACTTTATGTACCACCCTTTCTAGGACCATCAGGTTGCCTTCAAAGCTACTTCAGGCCCTATGTAACCTAAGGGTTCAGAACCCTCAGCATCCTCTAAAGATGTATCAGTCCTACATAGCTTCCAAAGCCTAGGAGCCTCCAACACAAATACCCAGAACTCTTCATCCACAGGGAGAAGAGGACAAGAGGAGGACTCCCGGTCTCAGTAGGAGGCCCCAGCTAGCCACTGAAGAGGCATCAGGCAGGTCTGCGGGGCTCTCCCCCTGAGCCTCTGGTACCTGCGTCCAGATGGTACGCTCTGCACCTGCAGCCAAGAGTCGTCCACCGGTGGGGGCATTGGGGTGCTGATGGTGCTGGTGTTGATGTCCCCGATGATGTTGAGGGCCTCTTTCAGGGCATGGAACATGCGCAGCATCTCGTCACGTCGCTGAGCCTGCTCTGCTGATTCCTCCATCAGTGTATTTTGGTCACCACAGGAGTACAGGTTTGCCAGCAGCTCCGAATGGATAAAGTCCTTGGTCTGTAAAGGAGCACAAAGAGGGAATCAGTTTTCACCCTCTTCCCCAAAACATTCCGTTCTCTCCCACCTCGTCCTCCTTCCAAGCTGCCTTCCATTTTTCTTCATTCTTTCTCTCCCTATTTTTCCCCTTCTCTGTGTCTCCCCACCTCCACTGACCACCGTGTGATAAGTACATTGTTTATCATGAGGTGCATGATTGTCTTCGGCATAAGGTCTCTGATGGTTTTGTTGACAATTGCCATGTAGGAATCCACCAGGTTCCTGATCGTTTCCACTTGTCTCTCCAGCTGAGGATCCATGGAGTGCATGAAGCTGTCTGATCCATTCTCTTCTGCTTCACTGGCCTGCAGAGAAAAGGAGAAACAAATTGGTGCTTCAATTGTAACACAAAATTGGTTTTTCAGGAGAGGTAAGAGAAAATAAAGGGAACGTACAGGAAGCGCATGCAATAAGTAAAGCTTAAGCTTACATTTTGAGCTGTGATTGTCAACGCACAGCTCGGCTTATATAGACTTCACCTCGGATCTAAGGAGCTTTAACAGTAAAGCTGCTCTCCTGGTAGAAAGTTACTACACAAAGGTGAAAGGCAACAGGGACTCCTGACCAGTGTTCACAGGTTATGGCTCTAGTGAATACTCAAAGCTGCATTTTTGCCTTCAATGCTTAGAGCTTCCTGAAAGGTTCTTCATCTGAGCTGGCTTTCCCACCCTCAGATTCAGTTCAGTTCTGAGAATTAGTCACCATAAATTAAGCCTCCCAGGCTCTGATACACTGCACCTTCATCCTCATTATACAAATGAGAAAACAGATACAGAGGCGAGATAACTGCTTGTCTCAGTGAGACCACAGTAGATGGAATAACCTAGAAACCCTTCCTGGTCACTTTAATTGCAAATCCTCCATCGTAAGTCAATTAGCTTTTCTTTCACACCAAGCACATGAATCTCTGCCTGCCTGAAATGCTTTGTTTAGCTTTCTGTAAGGGAAAACCTGGGCAGTGCTGTTTGACAGCAAGCAATCACCAAGGCTCTTCCATTTGGGATCAATTTCAAAGCAGCAAAGCATGAAAGACTGCTCTTTCTCAATGCTTATTAAAAAAAGGCAACAAACCAACCTTGACTTTATAAAGAAAAATCTTTCTTGTAAGAACCATCCCAGTCTGAAGGTTTTGCAGCAGTTCCTTATCTTTTGTTTTGGGGAACAAAATACAGGAGAAAGGGCAAATTCTTTTGTTCATTTGAGCTTTTCCTGGGAAGATCTTACATAATGAAGGAACACAAGGTCTCAGTGAGAAACAAAGAAAAGGAAGTGGATGTCAAACAGGGCAACTTAAAAAAAACACAAGGGTCAAAAAAACCCCCCAAAATAAGTTTGCACTAAGATTCAGAAGTGGTACAAAAAGGGAGGAATAACAAGAAAAAAAAAAAGGAAAATTCAAACCAAGAACAGAAACAAGCAGCAGGAATCCAACAGAAGGCACAAAGAGGGAGAAGAAGCAAATGCCTCTCAGGAAACTGTGACAAAAGGTAAAAAACAAGAGAGCTATCTGGCGAGATCCCCAGCGGGCACCGCAGGCAGGGAGGGTCAGACTTACTTTGTCCTTGTCCTGGCAGGCCAGTTTGAGCATAGGTGGAAAAAATTAAAACAAAAAGGGACAAAAAACAAAAGACTTTTAATTGGTCTCAGAATTTGGAGAAGATCCCATCACAGCACTGAACAAGCAACGCTCAACCCCACTAAAATACACAAATCCCTGGATTACCCTGGAAGAGGAACAAGTTAATGGTTTAGCTACACTGACAATCAAAATGGGATGCACACCAAGTAAATCAGATTATCAGCAACACAGAGCAATTTACTCACCTACAACACCTACTTCTTCTTTGTTACATAGGGTTTTGAGACAGTCATGCTAGCAATCGGCATTCTTATGTCAAACCATTCCATTTGCACACCAATAGATGGCACATGTCCTTTACCAGAGTGTGCTCAAGAGGCCCAGTCTGGTTCAAAGCCAGTCTGAAGTCATGTCACTGTTAAAGTCCTCTCCCTAATCCTCTTATATTTAATATCACATCGGTTTGTCAGGAACTACTTTAAGGCAAACCCCACAATCTTCAAGTGTAACAGGAAAGATGAATGCAAGTAGTCTATTAGAAGCAACAAATGCAAAAAGATAAGCAATTATCACTTTTCTAATGGACAACTACTAATAGCAGCTTCCTCTCAGAGAGCAGGAAGGCTTTGAACAGGAACATATACCACAATTCTAGAGAATGTACTTTTAAAGCAGAGCATAATGCTGACAGCAAGTGTTACAGGACAAGGCTAACGGAAGAGATAAGGGGCCTTGCTAAAATAGTATATTAAGGTATCTACCAAGCAAAATAAAACTTCAGAGAACATCTCTCCCTAACTGGGTGACGGAAGGAACAGGAGAACAACTACTACTAAGCCAGAAGTTCCTAACAAGGCTGTACAGTGTTTCTCAAAAGGAATGGCAACTTAGCATATACCACTTAGTAGTCAGGTAGTTAAATGTCCTACTTAGATTGGGAATTTAATGCCCACAAAGCAAGAGAGCTAGAAGGGCTTATTCAAGGCAGTCTTTGCCTACTTTATCCCCCCTTTGAAGCTACCTGTTACTTTATCCCGAGCTTCCTTAAAGGAAGCACCAGGACATACCAAAAACTTAAAAAGTTTTGTTCCAGAAGACGCCTGGTTTAGTAAAGAGACAAAACCTTCACTAATTTATTTGTAACACAAGAGGATGATGCAGCTATGCTGTGTTCCTTCTGATCCCATAGTTCTGGCTATAACTTACCCCAACACGCTCTGGGTAGACTCCTGCACGAAGGAAGGAAGCCTTCCAGCTATCCACCTCCTCCTGGGTCTCACAGGCCAGCTCCAGCTGCCGGTAGTCCTTGTAAACATTCCTAAAGAGACAAACATTTTATTCTTCTCTATTGCAAATTGGAGATTTGCCCACATTTAACACAGATGTCAATGGCCAGGGAATCTTCACAGCCTTGTAGAAGCTTCCTGGACTAAGGCAGAGATGCTTAGCTCCTTGCTAGCATCCTCATCATGACCTTGCAAAAGGGAAGGGACTGCCCCTAGATCAGCTGCGCGTTTCAACTTGGTGTGAATAAGATTCTTCTTTCAATTCTGCCCACTGCTGGACTTCTCCAACTAGCCTGGGTCCCCCATCTCCTATGGCTTTCCCTAGTCACTCATTAAGAACACTGATTATCAGTATATATTCCAGTTGGATCCAGGTAACCACGCCAAACAGGTGAAGGCTAAGGTCACCCTGCAGGCCATGCGCTGGTGAAGAAAGACGGTACATATATGCAAGACCAGAAGGGATGAAATCAGACTTATTCTTCTGTCAAAAGAAGTCCCCCCATCTCCTCCAAGAATGGCTCTCCCCTGGAGAGCTATCCCAATACACCCATCTACTCCCTCCTATCTAATATTACATAAATGCTGTCCCTAGCTTCAACAGCTTGGCATGGTGAGATGTGAGCATACCTCTGTTCAGTGTTGAAGAGAGCAAAGATGTGCTTGCTGGACATGAACCCCTTCTCAACATCTCGCAGTTTCAAGTTATCCACTGGTAACATGTACTTCTTCTCTTTCTCCTGAAAAAGGAATCAGTAACAAGTCACTCACTGCTCCAGCAAAGCCTCTACTCTGCCAGCACAGAGAAGCCTGTCAACAATACAGCCCCACATCACCAGGGCACTCAACTCACCAGGTCTGTTTAATCTGTGAGAAAAGGGGACCTGTTTTCTCTTGTCCTTACTGACTGCTTTTGTGATGTGACCCAAGAACCCAGGCCCGTTAACTCCTCGAGGAGCTGGCAGCAGCATGGCATGACCCAATTCCCCAGGTTGTAGATCACCACCAAGGCCCTCACTCTTCCCAGCAAAGGGTCAATCAGCACCAAGACCCTCACCAGCTACGTGATACCTCCATCCTCAGGACAGCATAAGTGGGGAGAAAGTGCTGCTGGTCAGAGAAGGGGCAATCAGCCCTCACAGCCTCACTATTGACACCTCAGTGTTTTACTTATGATCATGACAAGCCTATATCCAGGCTCAAGAAAAGCCAGGCATGTGATAGAGTAGCTGGTTTGCCACAGATACAGACTGCATCAACTTAAATTCACCTCGTCAGAAGAGCTGACTTTCTCATTTCATCCTATCACTGTCCTACACTATTGATTACTGCAAACCCTCTTAAAGTATTAATTAAGCAATAATAATTATACACCCAAAGATCAAAGAGCAAGTCTGGCTATAAGAACACAGGTTACTGTAAGGTTACCTCAAGGGCTCCCGTGTTGGAAAAAGAACATAAATCAATAACCATGCTCACTAATGAAACTCTCATGCTTCAAATGATGAGAAGCTGCAGCAGTACAGGCAGTTTGCTGCTCGGTGGATGCTCAAAACCAGAGCCTGAAATTTTAGTGACCAGATTCAGATTGCTTGAAGGGATCTGTTTTCCAGAACAACTGCACCCACAACCCTCCAGTCTGGTTCTTATGAGACCTCTCCCAACTGCTAAACACAGAACAAGGCATCCAAAACCAAACCTCAACATTTCTGACCCTAGATATCATCTTTAACAAAGAATCTTGAGGTTAATTTTCACATTTAACATCCAGGAGCTAAGGCAGAATCATTCTCCTTGCTCAAATCTGATCTACAGCAAATTAACAGAGGTGAGTTTGATTTAAGGTCCCCATTTGGAACATCTTGTTCCAGCTGGGTATTATACCCCAACATAACAAGAGAGGGAGCCATCACACTGGTCTCCTAAAGGCAGAATGCAGCTACCCGAGACTGAAATAGAAATAGAGCATACTTCTGTGCACAAGCATGTATGTGTGACTGTCCCCTTGTGAGCATCTTGTGTGTTTGTAGACCTTTCTTGGCTGGAAGCAACAAAACACGATTGCTCTCAGGGGAAACAAGAACAGAAAACAAAGATGGTCAGTGAGCAGAGATTAGCTAGGAAAGAGGGACAGGGCAGAGCAGCAGATAAGGATGACAAAGCTGCTGAGCTCAGACATCCGTCCAGCCTAACACCCTCTTCAGTTTCAGTGAAATAGGCTTGAGTTTGCTAAGGACAGCAGTCACTACACAGTTCAGACACAGCCCAAAGATCAAATCAGACAAGTTCATTCCAAAATTCAAGCAACAAGAATATCCCAGAAGCCAGCACCTAGAAACCAGAAGAGATCACTTGGGTACCTATCAAACTCTCCATTCTCTCGCAGAAATGCCAGGCTGTGAAAGCATGAGAGCTCTTCCAAGCAAATTTCCCTGGATATTTTACTATGGTTCATCAGTCTGGTGGGCAAGAGCTTTTGTGATGAGACATCTGTCAGCCAGGTACTGGGCTCAGAGCCCGATCACTTCAGGTTCTGTAAGCCACACACAGCTTCCAGCTTTCTGTTACTTTGGATTATTATTATGCTGGTGTAGACTGAACTAGTGACCTAGAAGGGAAGTACACCAACTGCTAAGTCCCTGTGCAAGTCAGACCATCCCTGCCACAGCCTCCCTTGCCTCGATGTCCCTGCATCCACCCCAGTGTCTCTGGGTTAGTACAAGAAATCACCGATGTAAAATCATTTTTCTCAGACGGCTTTAACGTTAGAACCATATTATTCCATGGAAATCTAGCAATGCAGTCATTCTTCAGGGGAAAATAAAGGCAGCAAAAGGTAAGGGAATCCCATGTCCCAGATATGGAAATACATGCTCTTTGCCAGAGTTTCAACTTTCACCCTTTCCAAGCTCTTGCATAAATGCTGCCACGTGATCAAGACAACAGCATCTCCGCATGCTGATCTTCCCATACACCAGAGGGAAGATGCATGCATTTGTCTGCCAGCATAAAATACCACAGTCAAAAGGATGACACTGGCTCAAGGCAAGAACCCCCCAGTTCACACGTGCTGCAGGGCAATGCACACTGACAAAAGCCCCTGGGGCTCTCCATCACCCCACACCTCCCCCTAACCAGTCCCCCACTTCAGTCTTTCCAGCTTCTCAGTTTTCAACCCAGCCTGTTTTATATCAACATTCTGACTTCATTTCCTGAATGTAGAGACAGGAAAGTGTGGAATGAGCTGCCAAGGGCTGAGCCTCTCAAAACTTTGGCTGAGCCCTCTGCCCATATGTTAGCAATCTGGCAGTATGTGCTATGGCTGAACAGCATCCTGGCCAAGAGGGGAAAAGGGCTTCTCTCTCTCTAGCTTTCCAGACTTGGAGGAGGGGAGAGAAGGAAGAGCCAGCACATATCGAAATGGGAAAGTGGTTTGTGAAATACTATATTAAAAGCCCGCAGTCTGATCCCAAGAGGCTTACATTCCTCATAAGGTATCTCCCTTCATCTATAAGAAGGAGAAAAAAAACACCTCTCTCAGCAGCAGAGTAGGTGTTGTATAAAATGTGCATGCTGGCTGTGAGTTAATCTGTAGAGCCATGAGGCCAAGGAGAGGTAGTGAAGTGGCAGAAGCATTTAGATTGGTTGTAATAAACAGAACATGGATGCTCAGTGTTAGGGAATGAAGCAGGCACAGGGCTATTTACCCATAATCAGGGCTGCTGTTCCCAATGGGAGCCACACTGCTTGCATGGAGAACTGCAGAAAGAGATGACTGCAAGCTACTTGCACAGGCAGGATAAGTGCCAGAGGATTACTCCCCCGCCCCCAGCACAGTGCAGATACAGCCAGATGGCTCTGTACTTTGCATCTACCATAGAAAGAAAATACACATGGCCAAGGAGGAGACCAGGATCCACCAGCCATTCCAACTGTGGGGCAAGAAACACAATAGCTGGAGAAAAAAACATAAACAGGGATGCTGCAGTTGCAGCCTGATGTTGCAATATCCATATTGTGGCCACACATCTCCTGATGGTGGCTAAATTCCGAGACTGGTTTTGGTCAGAGACAGCAATGGGCTGCACTATCATCTCAATTATATGTTGTTATCTTATAGGTAACAACCTACAGGAGGTTCCCAAAATCCAGCAGGCAGCAAGCCAGCCTGACTGAAAGCATCTCCTCCATTCCTTGGGCTGCCTCAACTGCAAGTTACGTTTTCCTCCTCTTGGATATATGTAAAGTGAAGCTGACAGATGCATGTGTGGGCTCCCCTAAGGCTGGAAATTGGCACTGGCAATACAAGAAAGTAATTGGCAGAATTATTAGGTCTCAGTTTGCTTCTGGAGTACAAATAAACTAATTCAAGGTTTCCCTGTAGCTGTTATGACAAACAACTTTCGCACAGAGACAAGGCTCTGTGGATATGGGAGAAAGAGCATTGCCATTGTTTCAACTGGTGGCCATGTGTAATGAGGAGAAATTCATCCTGTTTGAACCTCTTAATCTCTTTCCTTCTTGTAAGACAAAGCACTTCTTGTAAACAAACCTGCCCCAGAGATGAAGGGAGGTTCAGCCAGACTGTTTGTATTAAACACATGCACAGCACTTCGGGAACTGCTGTAATCAAACTCCACTCACATGGAAACACATTAACATCATAACGGATGATAACACACTGCACAAATGCATGTATACTACAAGAGTATTGGGAAGAAGCCTCTGAAAACTGGAGTATTTGAAAGCAGTACTGAAGGTATTTGAGCATTTGAAGTTGAACCACCCCCCATTACTGACCACTTTCTGCCTGTCTTTGCAAAGCAAATGCACATCAGAAGAGCTGTATTTCTAAGCTGTGATTCTTCCAGGAAGCCCAAGTCATCCCCAAACACACACGCACCTTGAGGCCAGCTTTCTAAACCACAGCCCACCTGCATCACTTTTACCCTCGGAGCACAGTTTACCAAGCACACTGTGATCACTGCTCCAAGCAGCTGCAATGGCTTGTTTACATCGGAAAGCTGCACCGGTTTAACTTAAACAATGCACCCTAAGATTTTAAGCTGATTTACTTCAAAAGCTCTGTAGACACCAGGCCTGGCCTCATGTGATTAATCACAGCCAGCACTGTTGGCTTAGTAAGCACAGCGATGGTAATCAACTCACCTGCATAAAGCAAAGACTATTTACATCAGCTGAAACAGCCGTGCGGCTCAATCTGCACATGAAGTGCAACCCCAGGAAGCCATGAGAAGGCATATGAGAAACCAAGGCAGAAACTGAGTTGCTTCAGAGAGGCTACAGTGCCCAAAACCCCACTGTTATGACCTCTGTAAGGTCACAGCAACGCTCCCCAGCCTTTGCAAAGGACAAACAGGCATTTCTCCCAACACCAGCCCCTGTGCCAGGGATGAACCTCCCTCGAGTAGATGACTTGCTTTGATGAGGTGAAGTACAACATGCATGCAAAGTGTTGCACGCCGCTGGGGAAAGGAGAGGGTTGGTTACCCTTCCCCAGTGCATGGTTAGAGCCACAGTGGGAGCTTTGGGCATTCATATCCTCGGCCACAAATCCTAGCTGCCCACCAGGATGCCCACAGGAGAAGGGGATCCTGGAAGGGAGGCACGCAGCATACATAAAGCCCTCTTTATCCCTGCAGCGCTAAGGCAGAGAGGGAGCAAACCGCACGGGCTGAGGCTAACATCTGGAATCGTTACATGGGAGCCAAGCGCCACA